GTGTGTGTACACGTTTTGTGTGCATGCTCTCGAGTCCAATTACAAGTTAGTGTTGCTCATGTCTCCACTGTGGCCTTTGAAGATGGGTGAATTGCTAATATGTGTATTCCCAATTCAGCCCTACCACTGCAGTTGGCCTCCACTTCCTCTCTTCCTCTTTCCTACCCTCCCCTTTTTCTTTTCTGTCTCACTTGTACCTCTTCTTTCCCTTCTTCCCTCACTGCACATTTCTGTGCTGTGCTTAGTGGTCTCTCATTTCTCCATGTGCTTCCCCTCAAAACATACTCGGGTGACTCTCAGTATCTCTGTCCTTGGGCTGGTCTGGGTCTGGATTTTATTCAATGCTCCACTGAGAACAAAAGAGTCACTTAAAAGGAGAAGAGCCTCTTGGGGTAGTTTATGGTATCCCCAAGAGAGCCTGACAGAAGAACTGAAGAGGCAGGTCCAATTAAATAGATGCCATATTTATTGGGCAAGTTCCCATGTTCTAACCATTGCTATAAGCTGCTATAACAGGGTGCTGTTGTTAAAGGGAAACAACCGTTTTGTGTGGGATTCAACACATCAACAGTGCAAGCTTAACAGCAGGCGCCGAAACTCATGGTATGCTCTTTTCTTGTGATAGGCAAATCTGCTCAATGTTAATCCTCATCTTTTCCTATAATTGAGAGGAAAGCAGGTTTATTCATAAGTCTGGATAAAGCTGGCGAAGAGTTTAAAAGATAAGGCAGTTTTAATGTATGCAGCCAAATTTCTCTACAACAAATAAAAACACTGTATAATTACAATAGAATAAAATACTGCAGGATTTAAAAAACCACAGGGTCTGATAGTTATCTTTGTAACTTGCAGTTTGAGCTTCCACTGAGGTTTAGCCATTCCTGTGAACCACTCATCTGTGGTTAGGATTAACCCCAAGGTGGGTGGATTTAAAACTGGCCTAATGAGACAAAGACTGGTGCTCTGTGATCACTGGACAGGAGTTTGAATGCAATTCTTGTGAGCTTAGCTCCTATTTGGCTGAAGTAGCTGTAAAATGTGTATTTTACGGTGCTCCCTTCGGCATGTGAACAAAACACATTTAGGATATTATTAAAGAGCTGTTATTAGTGATCCAAAAATATTGCTACTGCATGTGCACTCCACATGCTATTGCTGCAGAATGATTTTATTCCTCAGCTTGATTAATTAAGCCAATGGTTCATGAAGTCGCTGTTGAGTGTCTGTGTATCAGCAAAATGTGGGCATTTCCTGCTGCTTTATGAGCATCTGCAGAATATACGTATATTTATGTTGTTTATTGTCTATCATTATCACTTTTGGTGGGATTCAATTTATAGTTGTGAATCACACTTCTTTTTTAGAAGAAGTTAAAGGAGGTTTTTGTAAGTTTTGCTATTGCTACATAGCCAGTGTTAGCATTTACACTTAGCAAGAGCTTGGCAAGAGCTTCTGCCATTGTTGCGTTTACAGGATGAACGGTAATAATCTGCCCTCTGAGCAGCGCTGCTTCTTCGGGGCAGCCTGGACGCTACAATCTGACCCGTCCAGAGATAGCTGGTTAGCATGCTAGCTTCAATACAAGAAAAGAAGTGATAGAAATAGAAAGGGAAACAAAAGGGTTGCTTTCCACTACTGGAGACAGGTGAGTTAAAGAATTAAGTTTGATGCTGAACTCGCAATGTTTCTTATCGACTGCTAAGTAAACAGCTGTTAATGCTAACGTCCTTTGTAGCAATAGTAAAACAAGCAAGTAGCTTCTTTAAACCTACCAGATCTTGGATTAAAAAAAAAAAAGGTTCCCATTTGTGTGCTGTACATCTGCTGAACAATTCCAATGTTTGTTGTTTTGTTGTCATCTTTTAGTGTTTGTGATATTTATTTTTTCTATACTAAGGAAGCTTGAGTACTTTTTCTGACACTGTGTAACAGTCAGTATGTGTCTGTGTACATTTCAGTGTTTGATTATGGGTCAGGGGAGGCCACAAGCCCACGGTGGCCCAGCCAGCCTCAGGCCTCTCAGGTTTCAGAGTCGAGCATTCCTCCCTGGCTGCTCCATAGCTGTGAAAACCGCAAAGCAGCTCCAACAACAAACACTCAAGGCACTGGGGGAAAGACAGCTAACCTGTGGCTAATCAACAACAGGAGTTTTCTCTCTCTTCAGAATTTGTTCCCCGTTTTTCAGAATTGCTGGCTTAATGGAGACAAAGTATTTCTCCATTCGAGTGCCTATTTTTCCCCCCTTCTTCCCTTTTTTGTTAGTGTGGTGTTTTGAGAACACATGATTCCTGCTAAGTAGTGGCAGCTCTGTTTGTGTGTGCTTGTTCGTGTTTATTTGACAGTTCCACATCTTGGACCTGCTGTTTTTCCACTAGAAGGGCGTGGAACAGTAGACTGTCTAGGCTTGGTTTTGCACTTTGCGAATAACTCAGTAGTAAAATATGCAGCTCTCTCTGTGTGTGTGTGTGTGTGTGTGTGTGTGTGTGTGTGTGTGTGTGTGTGTGTGTGTGTGTGTAATGATAACATTATGAAATTGTTTGTATAGCACTCTACTGTTACTCTACTGTCCCATAGTCTGTAAAAGCAAAGCAACATGCACAAAAACAGTCATAACAAGGACTGCTGACTCCACTGAGACAATCAGGATTAAAACTGAGCTCTTTGAGATGCAAAAATGCCAACTTATTTCTGGCTTTTAGGACTCATTTCTGCAGCATTCTATAGGCCATATTAGACATAATTGAATTCTTAGAAATAACATTTGATACTTCATCTATAAGAATGGAAGCTGAATGGTCTAGTTACCCAGAAGGGGGCGTTGTAAAGAGATATGAGTGACCCGTTGCATCTGTCACTGCCTGACTGTGTGTCTGTGTTTGCCTTTACGCTGTGAAGATATATTTCAATTCGAGCTGCAACGATTAGTCAATTAGTTGATCGAAGGAAAAGTCATCATCTATTTTGATAATCGATTAACCATTTAAGTCAACTCTCAAGCAAAATTGGCAATCATTTTCTGATTTTAGCTTCCCAGATTCGCTCCATGTCTAACTTTATAGTAATCTGAATATATTGGGACTGCTGCTCAGACATGAGGATGGACATTTTCTATTCTCTGGTGAATTACAGACCAAAAGATTAAGCAGTTACTCAGGAACGTATCTGGCAGGTTCATCAGTAAGGAAAGTAATCCTTTGTTGCAACTCTGCCTTCAATACAAAGCCAATAAACTACATTTCTATGCAAAAGTAGGTATCAAAAAGAGTCATCAGGAATAACTCAGGTTTCTGATGTTTAAGAATCCACGGCATCTTGAAAGACCTGCTCATTTTGCCCTTTGACAGCGCGAAACCGATGAAACTTTGCTTTGTTTTGTCAGCCTTTGTAGAGACCCGTTGAAGAGTGAGAAAGTGTACGTATATGAGCAGGCAGTAACAGTCTGAAGTGAATTGGCTCCCAGGTTAGTTGGATGTGGTGCATTCTGGGTAATTGGTGTCCTCTGGAATGTGTGTAACAAAAGGTGTGGACAGGCAGCAGGAAACGGTTGTAGCGTGGAACCAGGCAATTTAAGGCTTTGTGAGCGGTGGGGCGGCTTACAGTGAACCACCTGCCTACCTGCTGCCTCAACACAAACATTAGTTTTACTCTGTTTGTAGCTGCCACATAGTACTGCTGCCTGTGTTTTGGGAAGTGTGTGTGTGTGTTTTTTTTTTTTTTTTCCTCTTGTGCATGTAAGAAAGCGAATATTTAGCTGATGGGACCCCAGAGACCATCTGAATAAATGCCTGTGTGTTAGTGTGTGTGTGTCAGAGCAGGACCATATTCAGGCCCGCTCTTAAAATGTTTTTTCTGCTGCTCTCTGAGCGCTGAGGTCACACCAGGACTCATTTTCTCCATGCCTTAATGTACTGCTCTGCTTCATATTCACTTAACAATATAAATCAATGACTATTAAAATGCTTCAGTTTGGAAGGTGAATGGGGAAATTTAGCATCATGTTGTAATTCCTGCTCATGAAAACCATCATTTTGTGTTATGGCTGATCTCCATACTTAGACAGACGACGCATTTTCCTCCCCAACCTAGAAACTGATGGAAATGACAGGGCCATACTGTCTGGGTCTATGGGCTGGTTGTTTGGGAGATAAACAGATTTATCATTCTCTCAGGACCAGTAATAAAAATGGCTCTGCAGAAATGCATCAGTGCTAATGCTAATGTCGACCTTACTTCAGAGAGCCAGAGTCAAGACAGTAATTTAGATTCAGTGAAGTCAGTTTGTTTGATGTTAATTATCTGTTGTTACACAACAGTTTGTAAGGCACTGTGTTAATACAACACCGCCCACAACACTGTCAACCTCCAAGTACATCACAAAACAGATATTTATACTTTATATCCTGTTTGTTAGGTTATCATGTTGTAAATTATATGATTGATGACTTAATTAAACTTTTTCCGCTTTCGACTTGTCGTAGCAGGAGAAGCACAGGTTTAACTAATGACCTGTGACATGTGACTAATGCATCACATTTAGATGTGCCAATAAGGCCAGTGAGCCTAAATACACAATGCCAGAGCCCTGACAGAAGAACACCTGCATGGAATGTAGCCACTATTATTATTATTATTATTGTTAGCTACACTTGTGCATGATAGATAAAAATATCTGCCATTGTAAAAGTCCATTAATGTGGTTTTTAGTGGTCATTTTAATGTTTTACATGCTAGTTACACTCTGGCGATCCTAGACTATGGGTGTTCCTGTTCATTACCTGTGTCATAATAATGCAATAGTTTGTAAATCCCCCTTTTATAGGATGTCTTGCAGATAATATTTCAGCGTGTTAATAACAAAGCTCTCTGCTCAACAACGCCTGAAACCAAAATCGACCTGTATAAACCAATACTCGTCCTCAGCTGATGGTTTTCAGTTATTGGATGTACATGTTCAGCATTCTTCACTGTCTCTGCTTCGTTCCCTCTCTGTCTCTCTACAGAGGATTTTCAACTCGTTTGTGTACACCGAGAAGACATCAAACGGAGAGACAGAAGTGCAGCAGGTGAGTAACAAAGGCTTCACACTTCCCTCTGTCTGCGTGCGTGCGTGTGTGCGTGCGTATGGCGTGTGTGCCTGGTTGTGCATGCATGTGGCATGGCTGGTGTCTGTTTGTGCTGTTGTCTTGTGTAGGTTTCAATTCAGCCGCAATACACACACACACACACACACACACACACACACACACACATGCACACACTTGCCATCAGAGGAAAAATGGGGTTTATTAAAATTCTACGGCTGCTGTCTCATTGGCTTTGAAGTTCTGTTTTTCTACTCATCTGTGGTCTGTATCTCTTTCCCCCTTCGCTCATAATATGAGTGCAGAGCTGCATTTGGACAGAATAAGACGGATTCAAGGAGAGAATGGTATCTTTTTGGAAACAAACATAGCATTGCCAGAATCGGGAGATCTGTTTTAAATGACTCAGAATCATGAGTCAGAATTTATGTGTAGCATTTTGGTCCTAGATCGGAAAACTATGTAGGGAATTTCTGGCGTCTGGTGTCAAGTCAGTCATGATTGTGTGCAGACATAGCATGCTGTGTGTGTGTGTGTGTGTGTGTGTGTGTGTGTGTGTGTGTGCGTGTGTGTGTGTGTGTGTGTGTGTGTGTGTGTGTGTGTGTGTGTGTGTGCGCGCACTCATGTGTCAGGGATATTGGAAGAATGACAGTAAACAACAGACTGGTAAACAGCCACCAGCAAGAACAGACAGGTTGATGTTTGTTTGCATGTCTCCTGTGACTGTGTGCACCAGTGCGTCCATCTGTGTCAGTGTATGCATGTATGTGCGTGTGTGTGAGGCATACAGTATATAGTGTCTCTCACCTTGCAGCTATTCACTATTCCTGAGGCAGCTCAAATTGGCCTTGAAGCATTGCTGATTCGATAGAAATGTGGCCTTTTTCTTGACTTACCTGCACAAAAATAGTTTTCACAGAACTCCATGTGTTTCCAGGCTACAGAGTGAGACTCATCGTGATCATCATAACCTTTAGTGCAAGTCTCAATAATGGGCCTAGTCTAAAGATAATTCCTTTCACAGGAACCTCAGCTACAATATGTAGTCAAAGCTTTTGAATAGCACTCCAATGGATGTGGTGTATTTTAATAAGTCCCAATCCAATCCAAAGGCAGTGCTGACTTCATTTATTCTGGATCCATGCTGGAGGCATTTAACTATTTAATATCCATGGGCAGGCAACTCATAGAGTGCCCATACATTCAGCCCATAACCCTTCTGAGGCAGGTGCCAACTAATTCAGATGACAGCTCTGGCAGAGTTGACTTGCTTGTTCTCTCTGGGCAGAGGGGCTGTGTGTCCCTGAGCCAAGGCGAGGTTCAATTAGGAGTGTATCTGCAGAGGAAGAGAGGGCTGGGACCGAGCAGGGAGAGAAGCCAAGGAGCTACGGAGAGGAGCCACTGGCTTCTCGGACGAGTTTCTCCTCTGGAAATTCATTATTCAGTCAGACGCGCAGACATCTCACCCTCTCTAATGACTGGAGCCCTCCCTCTCTCAGTCCGTCTTTGAGTCTGTTCCTGACTGTTTTATGAATGTATTCTGCTTGCTTCACTCACTCTGACATGTGCCATCAGAGTGCAGATCGTTAATTAAAACTGCTGCCTGCATTCCTGTTTTCATGTTGGTTCATGGTTTGCATGCAGACAGCTCTCCATCGTTTAAAAGCACAGTGAGGTGTTTTCATAGTTGCTCTGTATGTGGAGAACCCTGGAGTAGAACTATGAAAAGACTTTTTAATAGATCAAGCTTTATTTCTCTAATATAATCCATTAAAATTTCATGATTGGACCCAAGCACTGATGTAGCAGATTGATTCTGGACATCCCTATCATTGTTATAATTTAAAATTGACTGTTCACATAAAGACATTGTTTATAAGACAATGTAAATTTCACCAAAAAAAAAAAAAAAACCCAAAACAATTAAAGGACAGTGGATACTTTCCAAATGATGTATGATCTTTTAGAAAAACTGAACTTATCTTTATTAGCATTCTTCACAAGAGCTTTAAGATTTAAACAAATTTTAGAGAACCAAAGCTGAAAACACACACATTTACACACACACATATATATATATATTATATTATATTATATATATATATATATATATATATTATATGGGAAAATGGTAGATGGAAGGTATTAAAATTAGAATTGCATCTCAGTATACTACCCTGTCAGCCGCAGCTCTGGTGGATGCGTCTTTCACAAGATGACATTTAAGAAATGGAAGGAAAAGGACAACCAGAAATGGTTCTATTCAACCCAAAAATTAGATTTTGATTATTTCACCATTTTTCACTGCTGATATGTTGCTGTTATTTTATTGGCTTACTGCATTGAGGATATCAATTAGAGATGAAAACTTTATTCATTATTCATATTTACAGGTTTATCTACAGGCTTAGCTTGATATCAGTCAAATACTTTATGGTGTATGTGTAGCTGCAATATGTGAAACATGTTTTTTTATTCCCTTCCACAATCTAGTATTGTCACATGATGACGCATTTCCATCATGCATTTACTGTGGTGCTTCCTCCATTGTAAACTGATACTGTTTTCCTTGACAGACCTGTAAGCAGGAGGTGTTTCCATTTGTGTGTAGAAAGACATTTTGTTACTTTATCAAATCATGCCAAATATTTACATCACCATCTGTACAGCGAACAAAGTCTGCAGTGTAAAGGCTTGATGAACCTTTTGACCATCATTGGAAGCAACCCGGGGGAAATGCTCTAATTCAATAACAAAATCAGTTCATCCAAGGAGAAGCAAGACATGAACAGTCCAATTTCTACCATGCCAGAGCTTCTTAAGCCTGCAGAACAGACCTGTGTCCGTTCCTCACTGGTTCATGCATTAACTTCAACCCCACGATCCAAAGTAAGACTCGCCATAAACACTGCTGCCAGTGATTGTGGTTGAAGACTGCCCGTCCTGGTGAACCTTTAAAACTCCAGGCACCCATTCCACCCACTCCTGCTCTGCGGCTGAACCAACCCCACTGGGTGTTGCAAACCCTCCAAACTGGTTGGATGGGTCAGAGAGTGGAGAGAGGAGCCCCGTGTGTTGGAGAATGTGGTTAATCTGCAGAGCACAGGTTGGCTTTGGCTGGACTGTGGCAGACCGTAACCCAAGCTTTAACTTGCATAGCTTAATGTTTCTGGTTTCTCTTAAGTCACTGTTAAAAGTTTGAGTCTTATTTTCTCCCTCCGTCTGACTCTCCCTCCCCCCAGCTATGGAAACACTGCTCAGCTGAACACTGGCCCTTTTTCCTCTTTTTAATACAAAGTCCACTGCAACTAATTGCCATGCTGCCGTGCATGGACAGTACTGTGTGTCGGGGTGTACAAAGTTTGTGTGTTTAAGTTGAAGTCTGTGTGTAAGAGTGCATATGTTAGTGTCTCGGCGTGTGTCTGTGTGTGTGTGTGTGTGTGTGTGTGTGTGTTCCTTGTGGTGGAGTAGCAGTAATTGTGGGGTGTGCCTCAGGCCTCTGTTAAACCCCTAATAGGAATAGCGGGCGGCTGATTAGGTGTACAAGCGGTCAGTGGGTCGCGGTACATTTCCCTGTTCCTGGCTTGAATCGCAGCCCTTTTACAGACACCGGTAATTATGGGATGTGAACAAAGGGGGTCCAGTTACTGTGGAAATAAGACTTTTTCTGCATTCAACAAGGCTGAGTACGTAACTTAAAATGGCTCTGGAAAGTATTCAGAAGACTGCCGTGAGAAATCACCTGCAGTTTTTGTAAAATTTTTCATCTGAGATAGAATTTACACATGTATTAAAACACTTGAATTCAGATCAGGTGCCTCCATTTTTCTTAAATCATTAAGTTCAAAGTAATAAACTTTTGATTTACCTACAAACATAGGTATATTTTTCAAAGGTCAAAAAGATTGTGGCTTATATCCTAAAAAGATATTAAATTAACCTTTGCTGAATAAAGGCTACTGTGGCTCAAACATACAAGATAATGTCGTGAAAAGAAAAGTGTAACGTATCAGTACAAAAAAAGAAAATATTACTCCTTTTAGAGTGGATCGGTGTCAAGGTATTCCATGCGCACTACAAATCAAAATGGCGACATCCATGCAAGAAGAAGAAGAGCTGCTTTGTCTGCTGTACAGTGCTGTTAAAGATGAACTGTAGAGATGAGGGTAGTGGCAGACCACCTCACACAGCCTCTCTTCAAACTCAGTGTCCATGTTTGTTTTCCAGCTCATGTGCTGTTCGTACCCTTTAACAGATCTAGGCACGTGGATGTCCGCACCACAGCCTCACATACACCCAAATTTAGGCAGGAAGATGGATTCACAAAAGTATACACGCTATAACTATATACACAAGTAATTTAAAGCTAAAATCAAATAAAAATGTCTGTTGTTTTAAAAGAAGACAGTTGGTGTCACTCTGAATTCAGCAGGTGGTATGTTCAGTGCTATAGGTGCATAAACACTGACAACTCCAGATTTTTAGTGCACTCTGAGTTTGGAGAAAACAGCTGTCCTGTGGCCTGAGAAATCTGTTGGGTTGAGAAACTGTGAGCATGTCAGACATGTAATGTGGAACCAGGCAAACCGGTGCAGGACCAGACCAGGCGCAAACCCTTAAAGTCAGTCCTAGCTAGTGACATTGAAGGAGCATTTGAAAAGGGACATCTTAATGGCCTGTATTAGAAAGAGGAATGATTACGACAAACAAAGCCTGTTTCAATGTTCGTATGTTAAAATGAATACTGTTTTAAGACAGACTTAAAAAGTTGTGAATCTATCCTTTCAGTATTTCAGATATGTTGGATGAAAAGGTAATCCAAAAGTAACTTCAAGTGATTAGTTCTTTAACAGATCTTTAGTAAACCAGGGGATCATGTGACAGCTTTTAAATTAAGAAGATAATCTGTAACAGATTACATACATGTGATGTCTCAGATTGAGTGGGTGTAAATTCCTCACAATCCCTCATAACATCCTTTTAAGGCATTTTGGCAAATAAAAAAGCAAGAACAGGGATCTGTTGTGAAGCGCTGCTGGTGCGCTGGTTATTAATGTTCCCCAGGGGGCTGCTACAGCGCTGGTTATTAGTTTCCCCAGAGAAGCTGGAGCCCCATTTTGAAAGAGCACTGTGAGATGTGTGCTCAACCAGAACCTAGTCCTTCAGAGGAAGAAAGACAAAGCATAATGTATGCATGTTCAGGGGCTTGCATTAAGGGTCCCAGTAAACACAGCTGAATTAGCTGCTCTGCCTTTGTTTAGAAACTCCATTTCCCCCTCCCTGCTTCCTGGTTTCTAAGCCTTATAAAGGTAAACTGCACTCTAAAACAGAGTTTCTCACTCACTGGAGACTTCTAGGAACCTTGTTTCTCTTTAAATGAAATGAATGATGATAAAAAATTACTTGCGAACAGGATGAAAAGTTGACAGTATATTGTGCAAGATAATCACCAAATAAAATGTACATGAATGCACCACACAAGAGAGAAAATAGTGGAATCCAGCACATATTATTATAAGAGCTGTGTGATGCCTCTTTTTTTTCCCATAAATGTTTACAATGCTTCAGCTCCCAAACTTCCACTTCTGGCTGGCACTCTGTTGTGTTTTTTGGGTGGATTTTGTTATCAAATGATGAAGGGTTTGCTGTGTGGAAGCGGAGAGCAGTTAATGTCCTCCAGCCTCAGACATCCATCATTCTGCTCTGTTTTTAACAGTGATGGATTTCACACTTAGTGCAGCCTGAGGTCTGGGCATCTTTGATGTTGTTTAGCATCACTTTTGAATATCAACTTGCAAATGTATGCAAGGACTGTGAGGATTTTAGGTTCCACGGATGTTCATTCACAACTAACTGTGTGTTCTTTCACATGGACACCTGTCTATATAACGTTGTGTAGCCACTCCTTTAAACCAGAATTGCTAGATTTATGTTTCTCTGACCATATTGTGCTAAATTGGAAAAACAGCCATGGGTAAAAATAATGATGTGGGCTGAGGTTTGTAGAGTTAAATCCTGGCAATTCTGTCAATACCAGATGAGAAGTGTTTGAACTCAGGCTTATTAAAGTATCAGTAGTGTCTGTCTGACCGTGTGTGTGTGTGTGTGTGTGTGTGTGTGTGTGTGTGTGTGTATTTTAGACAGACTGTGGGCGAAATAATGTTCCATACAGCCTTGAAAGTAAAAGTTTTCTTGGTCCGTCTTGCAGATGTAAAACTGTTTTATAAGGTCAAACTAGGTGTCACCACTAATCATGGTCTAATTAACATGTCTGTGTCTATGCCTTGTGCAGTTGGCCAAGAAGATTCGGGAGAAGTTTAACCGCTACCTGGATGTGGTGAACAGGAACAAACAGGTGGTGGAGGCCTCATACACTGCCCACCTCACCTCTCCACTCACTGCCATACAGGACTGTTGCTCCATACCAGCATCTATGATGGAGTAAGTAACACACACACACACACACACACACACACACACACACACACAGACATGCTCTTGTCTTTCTCTTTCATACACTCTTTCACTTCAAATCTCTGCAGGAGCTTCATTCTCTGTGTGCAAACCCACCTCCCACTGTTAGCACCTGCACTCAGCTCTCTATACATTGCTTTATTCTCCAGCTACACATGCAAAACCCCCGTTTCTCCCTTGTTTAAACATGTTTTGATAATCCTTGGATTAGTTATAGCTGTGTTTAAATCACATAATTTACAGACCTGAGCAGTGCTGCTGTGGCCTGATACTTGGCACTGTGTTTAAACTTATTTCAGAACCTATTTGATAGTTTGTGGTTGTGCCTGTTGATGCTTTGCTGCAGTGTAAGTCAACAATAATGAGTTTTATGGAACTTGGAGGCCCTGGAAGGTGGGGAGATGTTGGGTTTTCATAGGTAATGACGTTTTTTGAAAGCCTGGAGATTTGAAGGCTGTGTCGGTATCAACTCGTATTCACTAGTTTTTTAAAAATCATCATGAAATTGCAGAACTTCCAAACATTTTGCAACACAAATGTTGATGTTAATGATGACAAAATGACACAAAATTCAATTTCAGCACATTATCTTCATTGTTTTCTTACAAACGTAATTTTGGGATCAAATCTAGGCATTGTGCTCGGCGAAGAGGGTGCCGACATGACGAGAGCGTTAGTCTATTTTTATGAAATTGGGTGTGAGACTTAATATGTCAGATTTAAATCCTGTGCTGAGAGAATTGCCCCAGTCTGCAGTATAAACTCAGCCTTTCAGCCAATCACTAACTCCAGCAGGCAAAAACACAGTTCAAAGCCAAGTGCAGAGAGAGAGAGAGAAAGAGAGAGCGAGAGAGAGAGAGAGCTGCTTTCAGTTCTAATCTACAGAGCCGCAGCTGTCTCTACCCCTCATCCCCTCTCTCCATTTCTGTCTATCTCCCTCCCCTTTATCAGCCGATGTAACCAGTCATTGCTCTCTGAAGTTTTTGCACTGCAGACTTCACAGGCTGCAAGGTCACCTGTGCAGAGGGGGGAGGCTGTCTGGCTGAGGGCCACTGGCCACCTGTAGCCGAATCATGCACACGACATACTGTAGATGCTGTATATTCAACACTTAACAAACATGCTGTATTTATGTGCCAACATGTGCAGTCTAAAACCAAGTCTAAAAGCATGGATGCACAGCTTTTGGAGACAGTTTGAGGCAGAAGTTGCAGAGAAAATGATTATATAAGGTCTCGGTAGGAGGGATGGAATGATGCAGAGGGAGTCACATGGGGGGAGGGGGGGTTGTGGTGGTGCTGGTGGTGGTGGTGCTGGTGGTGGGGTTGGACATACCAAACTGAAGCTGCGTTTGATAGATCCCCGAACTTCAAAGGATCTTCCTCAAGGGGGGAAAAGGCAGAGCTCTCTTGCTTTCATTTTTTTGGGTTTATGTAGGATCGTGAGATACTTTCAGGAGCTGTATGTAGAATAATTTAGCTCTGCCTTCATGTGCACTCTGCACCAGGGAAGCTAACTAAGGCATTTTATCTTAAGTTTGTTGAATGTTGCAATATTGCCTTTAATGCCTTAGCATTAAAATAAAGTTCTGATAACTTGCCTACAGTATATCTAAAACTCTAACACTAAGTATTTGTTGAATGTAAACAAAATTGCTGTTTTTCATCTTGTAAGGAATAAATGGTCAAACTTAAAGTAACAGTTAATCATTGTGGGAAATACGATTATTTGCTTTCTTGCAGAGAGTTAGATGAAAAGATGGATACCACTGATATGTCTTAATGGTAAATAATGTCACTGGAGTCAGCAGCTGTTTAGCTTAGCTTACCATAAAGACTGAAAACAGGGGGAAACAGCTAAGCTAGCTCTGCCCCAAAGGTAACAAATCCACAACTGTAAGAGTGGTATCAATTGTGAATGAGCATATTTCACAAAATGTCTAGTTCAGAGCTGGAGCCAGGAGGCAGTTAGCTTAGCATAAAGACTGGACACAGGGAGCCCCAGCTAGCCTGGCTCTTTCCAGCTGACTAACAGGAGAGGGTCACGAAAGTAACTGCAACCCTACTAAGGTTTAAAGGTGCAGGTAGGTGTATTTTATGACTTTGAAAGAATCTTAGAAATCTAATCTTTATGCTAAGCTATTTGCCTCTTTGCTCTTGCTTCTTGCTTGGCTCATGAGAGTGGTATCAAATCTGTCATCTAACTCTTGGCAAGAAAACAAATGAACGTGTCAAAGTGAAATGTCATACTGTTAGCCGACCTACTTACCAAGGAATATTTAAAAAAAACACACACACACACACACACACACACAATAAATGAATAAATAAATATATGTATGTATATATATATATATATACACACACACCATGTTGGCAAGAAACACTGCATTGCAAGCAGTTTGAATCAGGACGGGACTTTATCCCTCTGTAGTCCACTTCAGAGTGTCCTTCTTTAGTCTCGGACATCAGCTGCTTCTGGGGGTCCCAGTCAGGTCAGTCAGTTTAGAGGCGGATCAGGTGATTCACAGGGTGTCCATGTCTGTTAGCCATCAGGCTAGCAGGCTATCATTTCACAGGGAGGCCACAGAGGGCAGTGCTAAGCGTGCGCTGGTATGCTTTAATCACTGCTCGGTCTCAACAACAGACTGTACCTGAAAATAGCAAAAGTATGTAACTGATGGAGTTGGTGTATGTATGTTTATATTTTTAACACACAATCTCAAGGCGCTCATTTCAACAGTTCCACTGATATGCAGTTGTAAAAGTGAGAAGTGTGCTTGGGAGCAGGCCAGATGGCATTTGATGGTCTCGTTTCACCAGTAGTTCGTGAAGAGATAAGCTGTGAATGGACTGTGCAAGAAAAACGCAGTTCATATGATCCTGAGGAGTTCTTTTAAGAGGGAAAAAAAAACAGCAATCTCGCCAAAATAAAAGAAGAGAAAATGTAGTGGGAGACAAGACATGGAAAACTTTGTCATAAACCACAGCATTGAGTTGAAGTAAAAAATTTGAGGTGATGATGGTGCTAGGTTAAAAGTAAAGGCACCAGAGTCATCACAGTTCACCTTGAGGGAAACAAATTTCATGACAATCCATCCAGTTGTGGAGATATTTCACTTCCTGCGTATCATAAAGTCTGTGCCATCACTACCTCCACTGCTCTGTTTACAACATCTTCAAGAAATACTGCACTTTTTGCAACCTTGCTCCAATCGGTGACAAATACTGATCCATCCTCATGACTCAGGATTTTACTTTCCAATACTGCAGACATAATATCTGTAACTTCTGTTTGGGAAGAGTTTTCTTTCAATGGGAAGATCAAAAAAAATAGTTGGAATCACCTTTGTTCAATCCTGACAACTGTTTTGTTTTTAACCTTATGACAAAAATATGTTTTTATTCTTTTATATTTGGTGTTAAAATGATTTTTAAGCTTTGAGACAACAACACGTGACTGAGACTGTAACAATGACTTCAACTCATATCATGGTGTATCTGACAATTTGTGACTGAAAACCTGTCTTCTTTACACCAAATTGAGTGGATGATGTTTTTTTGTATCAAGTAGCTTTTTGTTTTTTTATAACATGCAGCGGTTTTGGGAAAGTTCATACAATTTTTTTATCCATCAAATGCAAGTTGCTCAACTAAATGTATTACAGTTTACACATGAGAGCTGCAGCCTTGTTTGTGCTCTGTTCCCACATGACAAAATCAATATTTCTATCATGGGTCTTGGTTGCTGAACACCACATGCCTAACTTTATCTCACCTCCATTGATCACAGCATTCCTATACAGTATGCAGTAATACCATATACGAGGGATGATATTGCAGTACCTTCGCTCATAAATTAAACATAGAGATTAAAGACACCATAGTGCTCATTCTTAGCTCCTGTTTCTAAAGAAGAATTCTCACTATCTGAGCTGCTGGCAGATTTACAGTCTAGATCAAGAGTATATGCGGCAGCAGTGAGCAGCTACTCAGACTTAGTGCTTCAGATCAAACTGATCTTCTGGTAAAAATATCGTCATCGTCAGCATGATGATGATAGCTCTGTTTTCATATTAGAGGAGGACATGGCAACACACCAGGCAGGTTGGGAGGTGGTTTTGTTTAAGTGATCATAACAGGTGTAAATGCTTTGCCACCATCAGAACTTTTTTTTCTCTCTCTGTCCACATGCCACCGTTAATGTCACCCTGTTCCTCTTTCGCTCTCCTCTTCTTTGTTCCCCTCTCTTTGCCTCCCTTAAACTTGTCCCTTCCTTCCATGCTTCTATTTGTTTATTCCTCATTCCAGTCTCTGATATACTCCCTTCCTCTCCCTTGGCTTTTCAATCCCTTCTTTTTTTTATCATGACTTCCACCTTGGTTGATGTTCAAGGACAGATTAAGCAGTGAGGGCTCCGGGTCTCCTCTGTCTGACCTGTTTACACTCCCTTTTTTAACCCAGTCATCATTTAACATCCCAGCCAAAAGAATAAACTCTCGATAATGGTAAATAGCTTTGTGTTTTTTTTTATTGTCCAACACATGTTAAAAGTCAGATCCACATTCTAAATACATTATAAGTATGGTGCTTATTTAAGAGCTTTTTATTCCTTGTTTCCCTTCTTTTGAGAGGACTTCTCGCTTTAAGCCCCAGATGCCCTCTGAAGAGCTGCTGGACACCAGACAGGCCTCCAAAATCCACTCTACATATTGATATCACAATGAAATCTGTTTGGATAGAGCCAGGTTTATGAAAGGCTTCCTTTAAGCACTCTCCATTCTCTAGCTAGCATGTTGCCGGCTTCACTGCTGCTATTCACTGAGGGATTGCAAACACATTAGAAATGGTATTACTCTTGACACTGGAGCTTGCACAACAGCAAGCCTCTTCAAGGTAATTGTTCTCAATGGGCTTTTTGAATGGCGTATGATTGCCTCCTTTGTGGATATACATGGTTCCTGCAGCAGGGTGCAGCTTAATGTAATAGATTTTATATAAACAGTGAATGGCTGGTGTTGAACATGGCAGGTGCTGCCTTATTTAGAGGTGCCTGCCCATTTCACTCTGTACTATAAGACACAGGACTTCATGTCTTTTCTCTAGTGTAACTGAAGATTTATATTTCCAAAATTGGAAAAAGTTTTTCTCCTCTAGCAAAAGACCCCCTGTGGTTTTTCAGAATGAATGAATTGTACATATTTGTTTCTTTCTGAGTTAAAAGCATATCTAAAAAAAATGTCAATTTTAAGTCAATATTCAAAGGAACATGAATAAATTTGAGTTTGAATGTTTCTTAAGGACAGTCACAGGTCTGGGCTGTTAAATTGTCTTCAGGATCATTTTTAATTACTGCCTGGAGAACACCCCCCTTCTTGGAAATATGGTAATACAGCAAGCATTCCTACAATACATTATTAATATGCACATTCAATGAAGGAATTATTTAAAGCATTGCGCATGGCATTTGTAACATTCATGGATAAGAGTTTGTGTTAATACAATTATTTTTTTATTTTGTAAATCAAATCCAGTTTGTATTTGTGTTAGCTCTTGTGTGTGATAGGTCCAGTCTTTTTTGCGAAGCAGATTTTTCTGCCCTCATTAAGATGCCTGATCAGAATGGGAGCCCTCCCCTCGCTCTCTCTCTCTCTCTCTCTCACTCTTTCTCTCCCTCGTTCTCATATGTTTTTTTGATGTGGAATTCAAAGTGCCTGCAAATGTATTTTTTATCTGGCACACATTTTGCTGAGCGTCCTGCCCAACCCTTCTATGCAAAGTGGGTTGAAGGAGAATAGTAATGACTTTGGCCTTATGGGGCTCTAAACGAGTGAAGTTCAAACGCAGCCTGTACATCACAGCACCTGTCAATCAAACCGAGCGAATGCCAGGTCTGCAAGCAGACGGAGCCAAAAGAGGGGATGTAGTGTGTGTGTCCGTGTGTGTGGTTTTGTCTTAATATATTCGTGGGGTCTGAAAACCAGGAGTCTGCTATACTTGCGGGTTCTGACGGCTTTGCCCCACAAGTTAAAATAGCCAGTTGAGGGTTAAGACTTAGGGTTAGGGTTGTGATGGTTAAGGTTAACGTAATGGGGGGTAGGGAATGCATTACGTCAGTGACGCCTCCCCACAAAGATAAGTGTACAGTGATGTGCGTGTGTGGTTATGTTTGCTCACGTGTGTCTGTGTGTTGCTAAGCCAGAGAGGTGGTGGTAGTGGAGGGGTTGGGTGGGGGCGGGGGGTGGTGGGACTAGTTGGAGAGATGGAAGGATCAAAGCACCCAGGGTTGGTGCAGTGCAGAACAGGCTGCTCCTCTGCATACCTCCCCTTTTGTCAGCTCTTAACTCCAGAGATGAAGGCTCTGGAAACCGTGCCTTACCATCACCACCGACACACACGAGAGGCATTTCAAAATAACACTGCTTATTCTGTCGCTTAACACTGAAACTGATCACTGAAAAAGGATAAGTCATGTGTGCAGATGTTTGTAGAAACTCAATGTGTTAAAGATGTGCTGATTGCAGCGCAGATCTCATTGCTCGACACCTCTTTAACACTTTTGGGCGTGTACATGCTGAAGGACAACACTGTATTTTTCACGCTACGCCACAGGTCCTTGCAGGGACCAATTACAGTTCAGGCAAGCAGCTCTGCTGGGACTAGCATGACATTTTAACCGTTACATTTGTTCGTTATGAGCTCATTCTGATTGCAGATAAAGGCAATATTTCTGATCCTCTTTTTGTCAAAGCTTTGCAAGTGTATAACAGACATCAGAGACATATCCTCAGCGCTAACTGTCAGGAATCATTATTATCTAATACATGAGAGAAAGAGCATGTTAGAAGATATTGCTGTTTAGGGCCCAATTTAAACAGATAATCGCACCAAAGAGACAGGACAGCAGTGTCTTTAGGTAATTGTGTGATTGTCCCAGATTATTACTCACAATCCCTGATAGGCTAAGCATCCAATGTAATATTCTTCTAACAAATGCAGTATAATAGAATATAATACAGAATGCGATATAGGACAGTTTGCAGGACAGTTTAGGACATTTTGCCTCAGGGGGCTTTACAATTCAAGGGTCTCAGCCCTTAGACCCTCGAATCAGATGAAGAACATGACAACATTACAGATACACATATATGAGGAACAGGACTTGAGATAACGTGATGTGATGCCAAACCGATAATATGCCACACATGAAGAAAGAACAACTCTAATTTGTATGAATTTAATTTCTCTATTACTGTGTACAGTGATGCAAACATTAATAACTGAGTAGAATGACTCATATCCTGTCCTGAATTAGCCTTTTATTGCAGTGAAAATTTTTGCAGAGCAGTGCATTATAACTACATCCAAATCCTGCCAACATCAAAAGTGGGCCGTCCTTATTTTTCTTGCAAGTGTGTTGATGCCCCCTTTTTAATTTATTTTTTATGCTCTTATGCGTCACATATCAATTGGAAGCCACACTCCTCCCTACTTTTTTCTCTCTGTGTCCATCTATCTCTCTGGCTTCTTTCAGACCCTTAACAGATAGTGATTAGAGAGTATGTCTATATCAAATGCTGTGACCCACATATGAATATCTGCTTTCTGGAGCATCTCCATATAACCGGCTGCTTTTAGCCTGGTTGAAGAGTAGTGTGGAAGGCTTGAATCTGTGGCTTATTAAATGTTAAGAAATAAATGAAAATTGCTCACAAGCTGAAGCAGAAAAAGCAGTTAGATTCTGGATCAGCCCTGTATTGTATTAGTTGTGCTGCTGACTTGGATGACGTAAATGTTTGAAGCAGTTATTTTCAATTTTTCTCTGATCATAAAATCCAGCCTCCTTCTGCTTTCATCTCCACAAATGCCATAGAACATAGCTCTGAATTTGTACAGTGCCTCACATTACAGTTTTTTCTCTTTTTTTTTTTTTTTTTTTTTTTTTTTGAGCCAAAAAAGATTTGCTTAAGCAGAGACCTTTCACATGCTGAGCCCCCTCTCATCTCTCACGGTAAAACCCCAACATCGTCTCAGCCTCATCATTGTCTTTTCATTAGCGTTGTGCTGAGGCAGGGAACAACCAGAGGGAATATTAATATAACGATCAAGATTTGCCAGCTTTGCTAATAATCACCATAACCTTTGGGAAAACAGTGACTCACCAGCAAACAATCATTTGACTACAAATCGTCTGCTGTCAGTGTAACGTTCTGTTGAGAATGGCACTTGGGGAATGAGTGGGGAAAATTTGACAGAGACGTGACAATACAAGTTGAGGCTGCGTGACAGATGATTTCAATCACTGAATTAAGCAGCCAGCCATTCCTACAATCACATTCAGATGTATTCAGGGAACTGGGTATGAGCTTTGTTGGGAGAAAAGCAGAATTTAGGCAGTTTTCCATGGAAAATATTATTCACAAGCCATAACTTTGACTTTAATATGAGGTCTGGGCAACAGATGATATAGGCAGTGATACAGTTAAGCTCAAATGAAATGAGCAGGGTCTGTTCGTTTCAACAGATGTTTGGTCTAATTGGATTAACGTCATGGTTTCATATAGATTTCTTTACTATTTGTGTAAATCTCAGTCAAATGGTTTTTGTTTTGTTTTGTTTTTTTAGTTGAACATAAACATTACCATTAAGATATAAAGCCATAAAGTAAACCCTAAAGTCAGAGGTATTTGTAAACCTGTGAGTTTGGTTTTATTGGACATAAAGCAGAGGAGTAGTAAATGTGTTAGTGCTGAGAGAAAAGCCAAAAAAAAAAAGAAAAAGCTGCTCCACCAACAAATGAGTTGGACACGCTCTATAAATTTCTCAAATCTCGCCTGTTTGTGTGTGTTTAGGTTTGATGGAAACTTCAATACCAACGTCTCCAAGACCATCTGCTGTGATAGACTTTCCCCCACTGTTAACAGCCGAGCTTTCAACCCTGGACGAGACCTCAACTCAGGTTTGTCTCACACACACCCGTGCACACACACACACACACACACACACACACACACACACATCAAATGTAGCACAAATAATTTTCTATTATCTGAATTGACCTACTTTAACAAATGAAACATGGATACACCATTCAAACTTTAGAATCCTTCTTTTCCTCTTTTCTTTTTTACAATGGTCTCTGCACCAAATGCGTCATAATTTAACAGCAATTGCCTTAGCAACCAGGTTTGATGAAGTAGTATTATCTCTTCTATCTATCTCCCTCTTATCTTCTTAAATGTTAAAAAGGAAAGGACAAAGATCTAAGATGGAAATAATGAGCTGTGCTGTGCTCCCACACTCTCACTGTCTCTTCCATTCCATTTCCTTTCTCTCCCCGTTCCTCCTCCTTTTTTTCACCCTTTGATTTAAGATATTTTTTTATAGCCTGAGATCAAATTCACTCTCGTTTGACTTTGAACTCATGTCTGGCGTTGCAATCAAGTAATGTATGTTTTTAACATCCTGTTGTGAAGGGCTTTGTTAGTTCTGTTTCTCAGTCTTCACTTTACTTCAAGTAGAAACTGCATCAGTCGTCACAATCACTGTACATATATGTAACCTCAACACACTCCTAACAAATCACTTGAATAAGAGCAATGGAAAACAGTTTGATGGTGTTCTCACTGCTCCCGCAATCCATTTTATTGAGACTCCAGGTTGAACAAGCACATAGCAGAATATAACCATGTAAAAAACCCACATGTGTCTGCACCACATATGTCGGTCTGCATTTGATTAAGAAGAAAATGTACTGAACTGACTAAAGACCAGGCAAAGGCCAACTTTCCCCTGCTGCTTTTTTTGTTCTTTTGCCATCGCTTGGTTAGCAGTGTGCTCCTCCTGCTTCCAGGAAAGAAATGTCAAGCTGTACTGAATGCACACGCTCATGATGCGCAGAGTGTTTTAGCCCAGCATGCATTGTGCAATCACCTCCGGTTTTCTCCAGGAATTTGCATTTGTATCGCTGAATGAATTGAAACTAATTCTACCAAATCCTTGTATGATTTCTGAAGTTATGTTTTCAACCCCCCTTTTCTTTAAAAAATGGTCGGATTGAAAGAATGTTGCCAAGCACTGCATAAAAATAGTCAAGTTTCATTACCATGTTTACCACTCAGAGTCAGATAAAAATCTAGCTTCACACTCCACTAACACATTTCTTTTTTAAGTACATAAGGGAGAACTTTGCTCCAACCAGAGTTCTCCAATTTAAGTCACCAAACTTATTCATGTTTATTCTAATATCTTATTCTGACCATTTGGTTTGCAGAATTTTTGGACAGTGCTGTACGACATAGTAGGAAGCCCTATGGTTACCTTTTAGACTGTACTCAAACATGTCCAAATTCCAGGCTAGATCTTTGAGGGACTACCTAAAGGTGTCAGTATGCTTCAAAATAAATGCTTGTTGGATTGTTCAGCAGAATTTTGAATGTCAGATTTTTTTTTTGGGGGGGGGGGGCTGCATCAGAATATTTGTAACTTCTGAAATCCGACAGTCACACCTACTTTACGCAGCGGTTGGCTAAGTGCAATGTCATGAATGCACCTGAAAAGAGACTGGCCCAGGGTGTCCACCGTCATCCTCGTCTGTATGAATCTTTAAGTCTCGCTCCTGTCTCTCACCACCCTCTAGTAAGGGCCTGCAGAACAGATAGAGATGCCAGGGTTGCATGATTGGACAAATATATCGGCCCTGGATGTTTGTTTTTTTTTGGGGGGGGGGGTCATTTTGGGGCAATTTCTCTAATTTAATTTTTGCTAATTTAATGCTGTGCCTCCTTGCAAATTCAACTTGGTAAATGATTAACCTCTAAAGTGCGGTTCAAAGTGTGCGCTAATAGGAACAAGCAGTTGGGAGTTGGGCACGTTCCTGTTGCACTGATTGCTGTCTTTCACAAAACAGGGCAGTGATGAAGGGACAATTAAGCCGCCTTTGACAGAGGATACAGTGAAGGTGCAGGCGCAGCACTCACCTGTGCAAATATATATCGGCAATCGCCGGTTGTTGGACCGACGGTGGTTGGTTGGGAAAGTTTTCGACATACCTCCCGACCCTAGTAGATGCTTTTGCTTTTAGACGACTTTGTACTAACTACTTCATGCTGGATCCCTGTGCTCATTCATTCTGTACTGGATATTGTGATCACCCCACCACCACCACCACCTTCTCCTTTTTACGGGAAACCTCCATCGGCATTTGTTCTTCCTCTGTCATACCATCGCTTGCCCCCACCACCACCACCACCACCACCACCACCACCATCTCCAACTCCTATTTCTTCCAGATATCCCAGCCTGCTCGTCTCTTTGCTAACCATTCATAATGACTGCCATTCATAACATGTCACCATCGGCAGGGTTTTATTTTCCTTACAAGCCAGTCACGGCGAGTTCAAGTTACCCCTCCGCCTCCCCTCTCCTCCCCCTGCCCCTCACACTCAGCCCTCCTTGACCCCCACGCTCCCAGCGTATTCATTCTCTCCCATTTGTCTCGGCCCAGTCTAAACAAGCAGCCACGGAGGGGAGGGAGGGAGCGAGTGAGAGAGTGAGGGATAATTGAGAGGGAGAGAATGATGAATGAAGGGGAAGAAAGGAAGGGTGAGAGCTGATTGAAATGGAGTAATTGTATCAAGACAGCATTTTATTCTTTCCATCTTCTCTCCTCTCATCTTCCATTTTGCTTTTTATTTTTGGGAGGAAGGGGAAGATAGGAGAGAGATGGTGGATGTGGGAGTCATCAGTAGTGATACCAGCAGGTGGGAGTGAAAAGACAGGTAGATGAGAGATGAGTGGGGTGGAGTGCTGTGAGATAAGATGAGCAGTTTGATCCATCTTCTCTCCTCCATTCATTTTTCCTCTTTCATTTCCCAATCAGTTTCTCTTACTTGTTGTGGTTTTGTGACTTCCTGTTTGCTGTTCTTCATCCAGTCTTCTCTCCATCACACCCTCATCTTCAAGCCTCACATGTCTTGAATTGTTCTTGAAGGATGCATTGCCTCAGACACTTAACTCTTCCATCAATTTCAGCTCCAACTTCAAAATGAAGATACACTTTGGAAGCTCTTTGAGTGCATTTTTCTTATGTTTCTGCATCATGGTAATGATGGTAATGATACTAGCATGCGATAGTTAAAGCGGCACATGTGGCACGTTAATGTATGGATATAAATACAGATGTATAGAGTGGGTCATTTGCGGATAGCCATGAGTAGTGAGGCTGTAGGAAATTTGGGTCCTATTTCTTGGCTTGTCCATCTGTTTCTGGGAAGATTTAAACATTGGTGGCAGAGTGGAGCACCGTGGCCTGACAGATGTATACAGAGCCCTTCTTCCACTGTCAACACAACTGAGTGGTTCCTGTTTATATGAGCCCCAGAGATGGATGGAGTGACTGGGCAGGGAAAAATATATGATGAGCGAGCTCAGTTCATGTGCAAGAACCTGCCGTGTCTCAAAAAAAGTAGTTCTTTGCCAAGTACATGTAGCCAGTGGTGCTTTTTTTGGTGTTGTTTATAATTTTTGGCAGTTGGATGATTTCACGGTTGTTCTGTAATTTATCTATATGCTTGTGTACGGTATATGCTTCATTTCTTTCAGATTTTAATGTTACTTGAATATTTGACTTTCGATTTCTTTTGGCTGGTAATATTGTTAGTAGGCTGGAAAAGGTGATTAATTCAATGTGATCACAAGCCAAGAACCACATTTTGGGATTATTTATAAGCAGCTGACATGCAAGAATGGCAAATCAAGCGTGTCAGGTAAAGACTGTAGACTTAATTAACAAGATATTTGATATCCAATTCCAGGTCATGAAAATCCCCATCTGACTCATATCAAATAGTCATCTAATTAGCAAAAGGCTTTGAATGCATACTACTGCTAATGAACTCCAGAAACCGCAAAGAATGGTTTATTAGAAGTGAGATTTTAAATGTTGGAACATGTGGCTACATCAAACCAAAACTTTCTCTTTGAAAAGATTATATTGGGCGGAATACAAGACCAGATTCATTTCTAACCAAAAAGGGGAAATGGTAGTCCTGTGTGGCTAATAGGATTTAAGTCATGACACTAAACGGACAAGTGTTTGAAATTTCAATTTGTATTATAGCTAGATTTTCTTAACTCTTTGCCTTTCATATCTAATGTGCATCCTAACAGAATGTCTGATCGACTGTCAAGCGAAACGTTATTTTAACAGCTGCATTGCTGTTTATTTTAATGAAGCCTACTGTGATGGCTACAGTCTGCTTATTCCCTCTCTGTCTCTCTTTTAGCCTGGTTAAAGGCCCGAAGTTTCTATTTGTGTCTCCCTAACTCACCCCCCCACCCCCACCCCCCGCCCCCTCCATCTCTTTGTGAAAGGCCGTTTTGTGTTGCAGTGAGCGGAAAGGAAGTTGCTGGCTTTGTGATGGGATCTCTGTGAAGATACTGTTTACTCTGTGACCCAGTAAAAAATCTGCCTGTTAGTGTTGAGCAAATACTTAGGCTCGGTGTCTCAGCAGAGAGTTTGTATTATAAGGCTGTTATTTCAGCTTTCCCCCGCAGTCACAGTTATGCCACGCGGATCAAAATCCGGTATCCAAATGAATGAAATGTACTGTACGCTTCCCAGTAGACGAGTAGTTCAAACTTCTTTTTCCTCTTGAAGTTAATTTATTCTGTGAGAGGTGTGAGGGGGGAAATGCATTTACATGTGTATACTTTATGTCTAGCCAGAAAGGGATGTTTTTAATTCCTTGTCATGTCTGAATGGTTAGACTTGTATACACCTGCACTAGGTTTGAAAAGGCCAGAAACGGAAAACAATACACAAATGTTTGAGCGGGAAAGGAACGTTTGTGTGCAGCAGCTCACAAGATATTCTTTCTACTAAAACATGTTTCAATCCTGAAACGATTTACCTGTTTGTTCAGACAAAACACAAAGCAAATTTTAGAGGCAGCACTATTGCATACACAGTCAGCTGAGAGACCTGTTTCGGCACGAATGCAACTTACTTTTTGTGCGGCTGAAATTTGCTTTCTGTCTGAATATGCTTTGAGCGTGACACGTTGATACCTACTTTACTGCATGTTCCCACACATAATACTGGTATTTTAACTGAAGATACCCAACATTACGTCCACCGGTTCTAGCATTCACGTTCGTCATTTCTGTCGTATGACAATGTGTAATATATTATTCCCAAATGTATATTTAGGTCAAGTTAAGTCAAGTCAGATTTATTTGTAAAGCCTAGTCTTATTCATAGTGTCTCAAAAGGCTTCACAATGTGCCTTCCAAACCCAGCCCAAACTATCTAAAAGGCATTAAGACAATAAGACATATTATGATATGATGATGTAGCCAGTGATGATCAAGTGTTGAGCATGAACACATAGTGTGTTTGTTTTTCACGTATAGCCATGTGAGTGCTTTCTGTCACACACTCTTATTCACACAGGATTCACAGTTGACCCCTGAACTTGAGAGGTCTCCTTCCCTGAAGAGGTTAAATCTGAGCCAAAGAAAGACTCAGTTACTCGTCTGTTTTCTTTCCTTCTCTTCTGACCGTCCCGTTTCCCATTTTATCTTCCCTGATCTTTATGCTCCCTTTTCCTCGATCCATGTCCAATACGTTCTGCTCACTTATTTTTAATTGTCCCTGTTCTCCCTGTGTCTCTTCCTTCTGCAGTGTTGGCAGACAACCTTAAGTCCAACCCGGGGATAAAGTGGCAGTACTTCAGCTCAGAGGAGGGCATCTTCACCGTCTTCCCCGCCCACAAGTTCCACTGTAAAGGAAGCTACGAGCACCGCAGCAGGTCTCCAACAACCTCTCCTCTCTTCAAATCATTTGGTTTTGTTTTTTCTTTTTATGTCATTCAGATGAGTAAAGCGACATGATAATGAAGCTTCTGCCAACTTCCTGCCAGACATATCATCTGTCAGCAGGTATCACTCACTTAGACTCCTAGAACAGACTGGCTGAGGTTAAAGCCACAACTACTCATTCCTGCCTCTTCCTCTCCCTCTTCCCTCCTCCTCCTCCTCCTCTTCCTCCTCCTCCTCTGTCAGTTGCTGTGGGGAGGCCCAGAGGGCATGTCGATGGCATGCTGCCCCCACACACCCTGACACACATGCCCTTGGCAGGAATGTGGCTCTATACCACTAAAGCCCACTGGAATTTCACACCTTCAGTGTTGTGGGTTTCTTTTTTTTCTTTTCTTTTTTTTTCATGGCCGCGGCTGAAAGATGTCTCTTTCTCTCTTGTTTTTTTAAAATATATCTTTGTGTCTCTGTTGCCTTTCTTTTCCCCCAATCATTTCCATTGGACTTTTTTTTTTTCTTGCTGTTCGAGTCAGTGAGCTGGCATACGGCCATGAGAGAAATTACGTTGCCTGGCTTGCTTCAAGTGTGAATGAAGCTTTGTGAATACAGTGTTCCCCTTCTCCACCCTGTGTTACTGTCTCCTTGTCCAGCAGACCACACACACAGAGCCGCTGACCCCCCCCACCCCTCTGTACCCCACCATGCTGATAATACATGTACAAACAGTGACAGACACCAAACATAAAAATTTAAATAAGGGTTGAAAATAAAAATTCTTTAATAATCTTAATAATATTTTACTACCTCAACACTACGATTGTAGTTACCTCAGAATAATAGATTTAGACCTGTCATTATGCCGACTCCAGGCCGACGGTGAGCCACATATTCTGCTTTTTGGTTGTGTTGCCTTCAGAGGGTCATTCACTTTTTGTCACGAAAAGATAAGAGGTATCTGGGGTTTTTTTTATATTATCACAGTTTTCTATGTAACAATGAGCCTATAGGGAAATCTTATTTTATTGTTCAAAAACACATGGGCAGAAAGTGAAAAGTAAAATTCCCTTTTGAGCCTTGAAGACGTCCCATATAATTGCTGGAAGTGTAAGTGAGCAATGACAACGTGAAACGCAGTGGGCATTGAATCTCCACCTAAAATGACAGTAAAGGGAGGAGAACCTCTTGTGAAAAGTGTAGCAGAGTGCAGGCCAGACAGGGAAAGACAACTCAGACAAAAGTGATCAGGGGAAGAAGATGAGGAACGAGGAAAGAGAAGAAGAGGAAAAGACAAAGACGTTCTGTTTTGTCAGCAGATTCATGAGACAGTTGCAGAGTCACGTTGCTGCTTTCGGTAAACATTCATTCCAGCTTATAGAAGACTACGCTGTTTGTTTCCGTTGTTAATGCACTTAACTCTGTTTGTGTTTCCTGTTAATTTCAGCATTTTATTATCACTGCACACTGTCACAGTCTGTGTTAATATTATCTTCAGTTTGAGGATTGTGTCTATATTTCTTTCTACTCCAGTATCTGATCTGGACACCAACCTCCGTGTGTATACATGTGTGTATTCCTGCAGGCCTGTGTACGTGGCTGCAGTTCGCCCCCAGTCTAAACACATCGTGGTGATGGTCGACCATGGAGCGTCTGTTACGGACACCCAGCTTCAGATTGCCCGAGACTCTGCACTTGTCATCCTTAACGCCATAGATGAACACGACAAGGTTAGTGGAAGGAAATACACCTCATCATGCTTACCTTGCTTTATTTATTTCCTTCTTTATTTACGGCGCACCATATCTGCTGAAATGCTTTGGGAAACTTTCAACGACACCAGTGGTAACCCCACTGCCTTGTTCTCTCGTCATCACTACTCTCCAGATCTCCATTCTGTCAGTGGCGGAGACGGTTCGTTCCTGCTCTCTGGACCAGTGCTACAAGAGTCTGCTGTCTCCAGCCACCAGCGAGACCAAAAGGAAGATGAGCACCTTCATCTCCAACATCAAGGCTTCCGATGGCGCCACACAGCACGCGGCGGGCTTCCAGAAGGCGTTCCAGCTACTCCGAAACACCACCAGCCTCAGCAAGCAGGGCACCAGTAAGAGCCCTCCTAAAAGATATTGTTAAACCGTGGTTGATGGTGCATGTCGTGCGTGCTGGTACAGGTTTTATTGCCATTCACAGCTTTATCAACTCTCTTTGTCATCTCATTTGGTGTGAACTAATATGTGCGGTGTGTGCTCCTTCAGCGACAGACATGGTGATCATCTACCTGTCGTCCGGTATCACGTCTCGAGAATCGTCGGAGCAGGAGAAGAGAGCGACGCTCAGCGTGGTCAGAGAGGAGAACCGACACCTCAACAACTCGGTCATGATCCTCACCTACGCCCTCATGAACGGTAGGTCACTCCTATTTAAGAAAGAGGGTGGTTTTTCGATTGATGTTCACCTGGATTTGACGTCCACACCTTAAAAAATGGTTGTTTTCTGCTGCAAGACACGACTCACAACAGGTAACATTTTCTCCTGAGGCTGCTGATTTCATTTCTTGCTCTGCACATATCTAGAGCTTCGTTCCTCTTTGCCTCTGCTGGGAGCTGTTTGTGGTTGTTCGATATCCTTTCTCTCGGGTACAATGTGCTCCAGAGAAGACTGAAGGTTGTAGAGAGGTGCTCAGAAACCTCAAAGGCTTTTTGTTTCCATCGTGTGTGTGTGTGTGTGTGTGTGTGTGTGTGTGTGTGTGTGTGTGTGTGTGTGTGTGTGTGTGTGTGTGTGTGTGTGTGTGTGTGTGTGTGTGTTGGTGTGTGTGTGTGTGTGTGTGTGTGTTGGTGTGCCTGTGTGTTGGTGTGTATGCTTCCTTTTCCTCTTTCATTGTGCTTGTCCATGCATCTGCCTCCTCTAATTCCCACCTCCCTCTGCAACACACACACACACACACACACACACACACACACACACATGCACGTCTGCTGTGCATGCATTAGTCCACCATTAATACAAATAATTTTTGCATTGGAGAATGGAAATGAGGGACATCTAAGAGAGGAGAGAGTGAGACTTCAAAGGGCGTGCTGCTCACTGTGTGTGACTGACAGAGGACCTTGGCTGTTTTTAAAGAGCTCCATGATGAAAAGGATGCAGAAATCTGTCGCCCTCCGAGTTTATTAGCATTGCATATCCAAAAAAACATTTGTTTTGTTGCTAACGCCGTTGCACTCAGCTGAAAGGCCCACTGTGGGTTGTGTGCGTCTTAGTCCCTGCATCCCCTGCCAAATGTGAAGTGCTGATTGTTGAAGGAGATCGGTGGTCTCCTGGCAGGAGAATACAGAGTTGTTTGTGTGTACATTGATGAGGTGCCTGCCCCCCTCACCACAACAGTGTATGTTAGCCTGACTAAAATGCTGCCTTGTACCTTACAGTATGTTTTCTATTCGGTTCTCCTCCACATGTGGTCTACCTGCTTACTCTTTGCATTTAGAACATACCTGTGTCTTTCTATTGATGATATAGTGTAAATGCTCACCACCTTTTCACAGACCCCAAAATGATGTCTTCACTTTTGTTTTATCTGAAAAAAACAAAACATATTTAGTTCACAATCATATAAAACAGAAAAAAAGTAGCACACTTTCACGTTTGAAAAAGCTTGAGCCAGTTATTGGCGTATTTATCTGGATAAATGACTTCTGCCAACTTCTTCTTTCAGCACTTTTTGAGATTTTGATGAGTTGATCTGATTGTTGGACCCTTCATCAGAGATCTCCGAAGGCAGCAGGTTTCACTGTGATCAATTTCTCTTCAGTCCGGTTTGCTTAAAGGTAACCTGTGGAGGTTTTGACCAGCAGTGGGAAAGGCTACTCCCGCAGATATGAAAGTGAAAAGAAACCCGTGCTGTCAGCAACTTTCCCCTTTGTGTTCGTTTGACATTGCCACCCATGACGACACGGCACCCGTCAGTCGCCCACAGCATGATGATCAGCAGAGCAGAGCCTTGGCATTAGAAAGGGATTCTGCTGTAATCCAGTCAATGATTGGATACTGGCAAACATTCTATGCTCTATCCGTCCTAATAGGTTGTGGGATGCCAAATGTTCCAGGTGACAGCTGTAGGGGCCAGCCGTAGTCATCCGTTCTCCCCTAAATGACCTTATGAAGCTTGGAAAGTTAAAGTCTCCACCACATATTTTCTTTCAAGTGAGGAGGGATTTATTCCTGTTGTGATTTCTCAGCGTGACAGATGAGAGTTGGGTCTGGCAGATGCATGGGATTGTAGGAATAAAGCCTATAGAGACACAGGATGACAAGTCAGGGCCTGCGTGCGTGAAATATCTCTGCTGCTGACGTCATATCAATGTGGAAAATCCATGTGACAACGTGTAGTATGTGCCTTGATTAATGATCCCTTTTAATGCGAGCCTCTTGCTGCTTGACCATGTGAACTGCATGAGGTTAATTGTTCTCAAAAACACACCTCTCCTCTCAAAGATTCTCCATGAGTTCAGCCTGAGTGTGATTTCTCTTTCTCCAGCTCCTTGAAGGAATTGTTTTTTACAGCTAGAGGGGAAAGAGAACTGTGGGTTTCCTTTTATAACAGGAATTTGAGTCATGCGCTCTTTAGTGAAGAGCTGTTCCCTCTTTTTACCTCCCTGTCAACCACTCCCTCCTCTTTTCATTTGCACAATTACCCCATTCAATAGCCCTTTAGCTATGCCATCAGTTACGGATTTGCTCTCAATATCCCCGCTTGATTAAATCAAACAAATTCCGTCGTCGTCTCTCCCTCCCCATCCTGAACTCATTCTCTATCCCATTCCCTCCTTCCTCAGAGGGAGTAACGGGCCTGAAGGAGTTGGCCTTCCTCAGGGACCTCGCAGAGCAGAATTCGGTGAAGTACGGCGTCGACAGAACGGCAGACCGCTCCTCTTTGGTGTCGTCATCTGGATCAGCAGGAGCTTCGGTGATGCCGGTGGTGAAGGGAAGCATGATGGTGCTGAACCAGCTGAGCAACCTGGAGACAACAGTGGGCCGCTTCTACATCAACCTGCCCAACCGCATGATCGACCTGGCCCGCTTTAGCCTGCCCTACGCTGACCCCATGGGAGACGGTGAGTAGTCTGGACCCAGCTCGACCGTGATGAACTGATACTGAGCTTATGGCCAAATAACAGAGGTTCTTCTCCAGGACGAGTTGTACTGAGATGAATGAGAAGCAACGAAACATGAACCGATCAGTGGTATTGAACGCACGGCCTGATGATCAGACTGAATGTGTTACTGACATTAAGTTGGTAGCAGTTACTAGGGGCTGTTAACTCAACATTTGTCACGTCAGTCGAAGAAACACACAAAATTTAAGAGCCATACATGTGTAACTGTGTCAGTCTCATCCTGACTTGTTGCCATTTTTATGCAATTTGTACAATATTGTGCTAAACGTTTTAGGCACTTAAAGTAAAGTGAGAATGCTTTCAAAAATAAATAAAATTAATTAAATTTGTGTGATCACCCTTTGCCTTTAAAACAACACCACTTCTCTTCGGTACGTTTGTGCAGACTTTTGTTGAGATCAGGGCTCTGCGGAGGCCGTACCATCAAGAGAGTTTCGGGCTAGGTGTCTGTAGAATTAATTTTGGACCGATCATTCACCTCCATGATAGTATTATGTGATGGTGGATAAAAATCTAAACATCTAAAGTGCCTAAAACATTTGCATATTACATTTTTACTGCTCTGGCAGCAGAAGATGATGTTGGTATTCTTAATCCAAAACTATGGTTGGCATGGTGTCTTTTCGGGAGCTGTCATCACATATGCGGGAGGCGATTCTAAAGTCTGCAACCAAGCTAATAAACACTTTTACTCGACTGAGTTTGACTGAACTACACAGATATAAATGACATTAACCCTATAAAATAAAATGGTTAACACAAGATGAGTTTGTATAATCAATGTGAGCTATTGAATGAACTAAAGTTAGATTCTTCTTCTCCAGGATTTATTATGACTGTGAGCCGGCCGTGTTACTTTGGTAACCTGCTGCTGGGCGTGGTCGGGGTGGATGTGAACCTGGCCTACATCTTAGAGGATGTCACCTACTACCAAGACTCACTGGCTTCATACACCTTCCTCATCGACAACAAAGGTCAGTCGCATGAAAACGGAAAGTGGTTGTAACCATCTCCATTGTTGTTGGGCTCCTGACTCTCCCACACACGCACGCTCGCTCGCTCGCTCGTCATCACAGAAGAATTGGCAGGATTATCTACCGCCGCCATTTTTTTTTTTTTTTTTCAACTTGTGGTCAGCAGCACTAACAGCAGGTGTTAGTAGATGTATTAGCAAGCAAAGCTTTAAATTGTTACAGCCTGTTCTCTACAAAAAAGTTTTCTCCAGGTTATACAAACAGCAGAATAAATCAAAGTCACTCATTGCCTGTTGCTGAGATTGCCTAAGCCAGTAACCAAACAAACATCAGTGCAGACTACAGCTCCGACAGACTCCAGTGGTATCAATCTTCATTAGTCACGGACTTGCAGAAACAACAACATAGTTGGAAAAGAACGCATTTTGGCGTTCTTGTTTCACATACAAGGGGAATTACACTTTATTTTGTCCTTCTCAACTTCCTCCACATCCATTATCCCTTATTAGACTTAATTGACGTCTTCTTGGTAGCACTGGCACTTCTTTGGCATTTCATTCTCGGTTGAGCCATGCCTCAGCGCGTTGCCACAGTGCAGGGCGGTAGTGCTCATGTCCGGTCTGGGTTTGTCTTGGCCCCAGCTGAGGGGGTCTTGACAGAACCGCCGGTGCTGTACACTGGTGCTCTGTGGGCCTGTAGACAAGTGTCATTAATGGACAGATAGTTGTAGGAAAAAAAAAGAAAAAAGGTGACACTGCTCTTGGTGACATTGTCTTTCTGCCAGGTTGACGGGATAGCTGCAGCAAACTAAAATGAAAACTAGAAATAAAGCTGTAACTTTTTTGAAAGCTGTGAACTAGATTTTTTTAATGCATTTGCAGCTAACACACCTACACTTTTATACGTTTAATAGCAGTTGTTTTTAATCCAGAAGTGTAAAGGGAGAGCCAATGCAGAACTATTCTCCAGCTCCAGCCTGTTGTTCAGAAACATGATCCAAATTTCAGTTGCAGTATTTCTGTCTTTCCTGAACGCACTCTGCATCTGCTGCTGCCAACACACAGGTGAAAATGTACGGTGTCATAAGGAGGAATGTCAGGAATGTGAAGGGCAGAGTTTGTGGAGTGCTCGCAGGGCGTCTGATTTTCACACCTTTGTGGATAAATGTGCCTCTCACCTTGTATTTTCTACCTTTTTAAATGCCACCCCTTTTGAAAACTGTAAAATAAATAACCCTAACTAACTTGAAATGTTACGCAGGGGACACATTTTTACTGGAAACTAAAACTGCAATAACCAGGCTTGATTTGTAAATGGTTTGGAGCCTGAGAGGCTGAACTGTGGTGATTAAATGCAAGAAGGAGGAAGAAATAAAAAAGAAAAAAAAAAAATGCTAAAGCTGAAGGGAATGGCGGGAGAAGTTTCCGAGGAGCTTAGAGGAAGGCTAAGGTGAAGATTAAGGACAGGCGGGAGACGTTTAGAGGTGAGGTAAAGTGTGGTAGAGGAAAGTCATAAAACATTCAGAATAAATGACATGTACTCTCCTGGATGGTTGGAGTGTGTTCATCATCAGAATTTTTCAGAATTAAAGTTAATTATTGCGAGTGAATTTTTGCAGCTGCGCGAGTTTTGTTCCTCTGCTGCACTCATTCAATGAGTCTCTTTTTTTTTCCTTTAAAATGTTTATTATTGTAATAAATATGCCATCAAATTATAGCTTATTACTGCACCGTGCTTATTAGTGCAGCAACTTGGGGAACACTGACAAATGACTACCATTAAAGTTATTAGCTGGCATTTAAATTGGCTGCTGCCAATTAGAGTTTACGTAAATATAATTAGGTAAATATGCCGCTGACAAGTGGCTTCTGAGGCTAAAAATAGTGGATGAGTATTAGACATATTTTTGCATTTAGTTGATCTTATTCATTGACTTCATGAGACTGTATGTGCATTAAACAAGCTGCTACCTGAACAGAATTACGTAGAGATTTATGTATGACAAGCACTGCAGTCAGCTGTATTCATTAAGAACAGAGATGCCTTATACAGCAGATTAAGAGTGTGATTCACCACACCTGCTGCTACTTTGTTGAATACACACACACTCTTTTTCACTAGACAAACACAGTGTATTAGAACTGTGTAAAAAAAAAAAAAAAAATTTTGTTTGTTGACTCCCTTCAAAACAGATGGGCTTTTTATCCAGTTTTTCTCGAGGGCTTTTTGGCTCCCAAAATGATTCCTGCTGCTGTTAGGAGCTGTGTTTATCACAGCACTACCCTCCTCAGCACTGTGTTGGAGCTCCATTAGAACAGGTTAAATGTTGTTGTTTTTTTTACTCAGTGAAATTTTAGATTTTGGAGATTAAAACAGAGCATTGTCCACTTTGATTTATGCTGTGACATTGTAGCATCAACAGCTTTATATTATTAGATTCAAATATCAAGTGTTGCAATGGTCATGGCCTATACATTGACATGCCTAACTAACACTTACTATGCTTTTTCAGTGCAGTTCTATTTGATCTCCTTGCACCTATTGAAAAGATGTAGTTGTTGGTACTTAGGCCAGCTCTTAGTGTTGTCCCTCACTTGTAAGTCACTTTGCATAAAAGCATCTGCCAAGTGAGAAAATGTAATGTAATAATGTAATGTGTATACTGCCTAAAGTAAATTTCTTTGCGATTTTGATCCATCTACCACCCACAGCTGGTTTTTGGGAGAGCCGACAAATGTCTAAATTTATCAGGTGTGACAAACAACTAAAAGTTTGTAATTCCACACTCCAAAATAGAAATAAGCAGGAGATTTTTCCTCCCTTTGAAATGTTTCAAACTGCATTCAGAAAGTCTTCAGACCCCTTCAAATTTTTATTTTTTACATTTTGTTATGTTGCTGGTTCACAACAGTTTGTTGTTTTCATGAATTATGAGGACCCAGTTTTTCTTTTACTGGCATGTTTTTGTTTCTGTCTCAGTATGCGTGAGCGGTATTTAACGATGCTGCTGGTGCGAACTTGTTTGATTTCCCAGGTTACACCCTGATGCACCCATCGCTGACACGGCCTTACCTGATGACAGAGCCTCCCCTGCACACTGACATTATCCACTACGAGAATATCCCAGGATTCCCTGCTGTCCGACAGAACATCCTCAGGTAGGAAATTATCACTGAATTAAAGCTATTGATACAAAGATAATATATTTCATGACTGATACATGCTGTGTGTTTCTTGCAGCCTCCCCCTGGGCAGTCAGGTCATCGCTGTTCCAGTCAACTCCTCTCTGTCCTGGCACACCAACCGGCTCAGGGACAACAGCAAAGAGGCATACAATGTCAGCTACGCCTGGAAACTGGTACGTGATGGTGTAGACAGCTGAGACAACATTTAGTTTCACTGTCTCAACATTTTGCCTTCAGCCCAGATTGGACCACAGACTCTTTCCTCTGTATTTTCTGCTCGCAAAAACGCACACACACACACACACATAAGAAAACTTGCATACATTTAAAAGCTATTTGCAATAAGAAGTCCTTACATACAGTAGTACACGCAACATCATCTTGTTCTTATAGCAAGAACATGCCTGCAGAGGAGTCAAACAAATGATGCAGTAGGATACAGTATTTTCTTGCCAGAGAGTAATTATAAATTGACACATGTGAAGATGGAAATTATAAACTGGCAGTTGCTTATTTTTTTCTTAATTTGTCCCAAAAGGATCATATCTGTGAAGCAGAACCAGCACTTGCACACTCAATACCAGAAACAAATGATCATCTTTGGCTTAGGGCCAGTAAGGCTTTATCATGCTGGGACCATAACTCACTCATATACTTTCTCTCCAACTCTTCCATTTCTGTCCATAGCTCTTTGTTATTACTGTACCGCTGTCTAAAAGTGGTATAGAGATTTATATTCCCAGCCTTTGTGTCTCCACCAAACCCCCCCCGCGCCACCTTAAATTAGTTGGTGTAATAAAGACCAAGTGCTCCCACACCCAGAAACTGTCTATCCCTCCGATCTGCTTTTCCTCTCAGGGCTTGAAGTGTCGTGTTTTAGGAACAAATGGCATCAGGACAGCAATAACATCACGCCATATTGACTCTTTTTGCTTTCTGACATTTAAACTTTTGGCAGGAGCAGAAATATCACACTTAATTCAGGCATTTCACTTTTAGCCTTTTTTAAAAAGCTTTTGACATTTTGTTTCTTTTTTTTTCCCACACAGGCGAGTTCAAACGCGTCACCTTTGCCATGAGTTTGGCAGCTGTCTCGGTTTTTTAAAATGAACTTTCCAGAGCCAGTAAAATAGTAAATTGACTGAGAGAGCATCAATCCAAAAGAGTTTGTTGTTTCCCCACACCATTCTGTCCTTTTGTCGGCCTGATGATATCAGGTCATTCATTTATGAGTAGTTAATATTGTTCATTCTTGTGATTGTGACCAGAATTAAGATTTGAAGCTAAGGCCATTTTCCCCTGTTTCCTGTTCAGGGACCAGAAGCTCCCAGATCTTTCTGAAAGCTGTTTACTGTTTGTTTGACAGTTTGCATGATTTAATAACAACGTCTCAGAATTCAGCAGCAGACTGGTGCTGCATGGTTTATTTAGAATCAGTCGGGTGAAAGCAGTTGTTAAACTGGACACATTTATCTCCTCTGGAAGACGCCTGCAGCCTATAAAACACCAGCTCTGATGTCTGACACTAAACACTGAAAAAAAAGAAGAGAAGACACATAGGGATGGAGAGTGTGTGTAATGTCACGGTCTCCCTGGCGTCTAGTTTGGACAAAATATGTTGGAGTGGATCCTATAAATTACATTAACAGCCTGTATTTTATTCGTAGGCTCGCCATGGTCACGGAGCATGTTCTTGGGGTGAAAGTTGTTTTTTATCATGAAAATGAACATACTTAAAGTCAGGGAAGGTAAATCTCCTCCTGTCCTGTCTTGTCCTCTAGGTTCAGGACACGTCGTTCATCCTGTGCATTGTGTACGTGCAGCCTGAGATCCCAGTAAAGCAGCTGAAGAACCTGAACACAGCTCCCAGTTCAAAGCTGCTCTACCACCGTTTAGACCTGCTGGGTCAACCCAGTTCCTGTCTGCACTTCAAACAGCTTGCCACTGTCGGTAAGAAAAGCACCAGATCCAGAGATCTGGACTAATGTACAATAACTTCAACTAATAACTTTGTTTACAAACTTTTTTTTTTTCCCCGTAGCCAGCTTTAAAACATTGATTCAATTGAACACCTCTCACTGTCTCTCTTTCCCAGAGTCCCCCACAGTGATGTTGGCAGCTGGTAGCTTCTCCTCTCCCTATGAGCACCTCAGTCAGCCAGAAACAAAGCGTATGGTGGAGCACTACACCGCCTACCTGAGTGATAACACCCGGCTCATAGCCAACCCAGGCCTCAAGGTACACAAGCACCCAAGCCTGGAAACTTACATTTGAGTCGTGACGAAAACCAGCCTGGCAGCGCACACACTCAAACGCAAGAATTAATGTTGTTTACCTGACAAACATATGGCACACAGCCAGCCCAGCGGTCAGGTTACAGGCATGTACACAAATATTCCCGCATGCAAATATGTACAAACACTATTAAGCACAATTTATTTGCCCCAAGACAGTTTTTTTTTATGTATGAGTTCTTTTAATGCACCTTTTACTTCTGTTTCTTGCACCATCTGACAAGCATATCTAGATTTTTTTAGGCTGCTTAAAATTCACAAATTTTAAATGAAGTCCTGCATCTTTAAGTCAGGGATAAACCCCCACGTGGTTTTGGCAGTCTGTGTGCATTCCGGTCCTGGGGGGAGTAGGGGGTTAGAGTTTGAACTCTAAGCTTCAGTCCCAGCTCTGATTCCCAGGCTGGTCTTAAAGGCCCCCTCCAGTGACCTGATCACCTCTTTCAAACTTTGAAGCTTCTATGAAAATGGTACTGAGACGTGATTTTTCAGGGTGTTTTTCAGGGCTTTAGGACTTATCAAGTCCAAATTTATTCCTGAATACTGGTTGCCTAAGGCTTGCTATTTGTGATTTCTTGATCAGAATGATCTTATATCTTACAATGCAGTACAATAAGTTCAAGTTTAGATGCAGCATCATTGTGCCTGTTTGAAAACAGGATGAACTTTTTTCTCATGTTGTTTGTGGTTTGACCGGAAGCCAGAAAGTTTCCCAGAGTTTTAGCAGACTTACATCTCAAGCTAACCCGAGATTAAATCTCTTACTTCTCTCCTCCTCCCTCCTTACCTCTTCCTCCCCCCCTTATCTCCTCTCACCTTTCTTTCTACCCTCAACGCCTCTCTCCTCCCTCTGTCTGCCTCCATCCCTCCATCCCCGCTCCTCTGCAGTCCTCTGTCAGGAACGAGGTTATGGCGACCAGTCACGTCACGGATGAGTGGATGACACTAATGGAAATGAGTAGCCTCAACTGCTACATTGTGCGCCGTTACATAGCAACCCCCAGTGGGGTGCTCCGGATTTACCCAGGATCGCTGATGGACAAAGCCTTCGACCCGACCCGCAGACAATGGTGAGGCTTACTTTGGAGGGTGTGAAGAGGGGGAGAAAAAGAGTGAAGGTGTGTGTGTGTGTGTGTGTGTGTGTGTTTGTGTTTGTGTTTGTGTGTGTGTGTGTGTGTGTGTGTGTGTGTGTGTGTGTGTGTGTGTGTGTGTGTGTGTTTTAGGGAAGCAAAAGGACTTATGAAAGAGTGTTGGGTAGGAAGGAGTTAAAGGGAATGAGTATGTGTCCAAACTGCAGGTGCATGTTTGTGCTTAATGATCTACTGCCTTTACTGAGTTCAATCCGGTTATGGTTCCTCATTAAACTGTTGAATTGTAAGGGGCTTTTATAGTTCAGCCTACAGTATAATACATTTTTCCAAAGTAGAGTAAATTGAAGTCAATTATGATCATCAATAAATGACAGTTTGTGTGCAGTCAAAACCAAAACTAATGCACCAGCAATGCTCGGATTTCCCCACAAAAAGTACAGTTCACATTCTCAAGTGTCTCGGGGTTGAATGAATGAAAACCTGTGAAGCATCTTAAAAAATAATCTCATTGACCTCTTGTTAGTCAGGGAAAGGGTATGAGATGGTTTTAACTATGTGAGATAACCCCATGCTTGTGTGATGTGTCGTGCAGGTACCAGCATGCTGTGGCTAACCCTGGCCTCATCACCTTCACGGGGCCATACCTGGATGTGGGCGGGGCGGGATACGTTGTCACAATCAGCCACACCATCCACGCCTCCAGGTATGTGTGCTTTCCCCACAATAAACTCCTCCGCTATCAAACTGTTTGACCGGTCTCTTCCTGAAGTATCTGTTTAATGGAAGTATACACTTAAGCATTTTCATGGTTGAATTTGGGTGATTTTTTTTTTTTACACTTAGGCAATAAAATGATCAGCTCTCCTTATAAGATAATTGCTCATCAACAGATTCATTGTTGTTATGAGCCCAGACATCATTGTGGGCAGTTAGGATCTCAGCCTGGAAATCAAATCAGCCAGATCTCACCATCTCTGAAGAGAGGAAATAATTTGAGGGAAACTAAAGGAGACCATTGACCAGTTTTGCTTCGGGGCTGTGTAGTGAGTGACATAATATTCTTCATCCGAATGGTCTGGGTTCAGTCACAGTTATCGTCAAGTATGTGCTCTTCCACAGTCCCCTCGAGCGAGTCATTGTATTCCTACCAACTGAAGGAAGAAGAGCCAAATAACAAATTGAGTGTCACACCACGTCCCTTCGGCCAGTTATAAAAGTTATAGTATAAGTTATAGCAGTGATGTTTTCTACACAGCCGGTGCGAATGGGAGGATTGAAAAAGTCTGTGACTGTCGCTGAGATTAACATGTTTATGTTTCTAGCTCAGTGACCTTAAAGTGCAACTCACCACAATGGCCAGCGTCACTGTTTGCATCCGCACAATAAGAACTGTTTACCATGGTCCATGCAAATGTTCAGTGTACACACAAACAGTCAGTATCAGCGTGTGATAAACCAGGATTAGTGTGCTGTTATGTGCTGGCTCAGTGAGCATACAATCACGCAGCCTGTAATCTGTAAACACAGATTTACAGACCGTGCAGGTGTATGTGTGTGGTGTGTATTTTGTGTTTGAGTTTAGGCGGGATTTTCATTCATGTTATCCTAAAGGTCTGCAGAGTAATGAGCCATAGACCAGCAGTGTAACTGACAATTACTTTCAGCATGCAGCTCACCACACAATCACAGCAAACAGTGTCACAGATTTTTTTATTTTTTTTTTATTTTTATTTTTTTTAATAATTTCTTCTTCTCTTTCTGTGTCTGTTACTTTTCTCTGGACGTCTTCTGCTCTGTCCTCTCTGCTCCTTCTCTCTCTCCAGCTCTCAGATGGCTCCTGGTTATGCAGTCGCAGTGATGGGCATCGACTTCACCCTTCGCTACTTCTATAAAGTCTTGCTCGACCTGCTGCCCATCTGCAACCAGGACAAAGGCAACAAGATCAGGTAAAAGAATGAATGGATGTGATGATCGGACGACCGTCTCTTCTTCTGTTCTCCTCGCTTCTTTTTGCGATATCATTGCTTCTTTTTCAATTTCTTCTTCTTGCTTTCCCCCTGATTGGCTTTTGGGGTGGCAACATTTCTGTTTTACTGAGCAAGAATTCAGCTTCCAGAGAGATCAAGAAGAAAAAAAGAGAGAGGGGGAAAAAGAGATAAGCTGATTATCACAGCATTCCTGCTGGAGATGTGGCGTTGCTGCTGCTCCAGTCCTACATACTTTCTCCAGCTTTAATGTCTCCCTTTTTAATTTTTTCTTCATCTTTTCTTTTCCACCCCCTCCACTTCCAGTCCCCTCTCTCTCTCTCTCTCTCCATTTCCTTCATATGCTCTCTCTGTTGGCGTTCTGAGGCCATATAAGACAGGATTAGCTCAAAGGGGGTGTGGGGCGGAGAGGAGCAATATTTGGCAGAATGTTTAAGAAACAGAGGGAAGCAGAATGGAGCTGTATTATACATATGATTTAAGATGAATTTAGCACTGGAAAAAAAAATTAAGGATCCAAACAAATAATCGACATATATTCTTTGAATTGATCCAAACTGTTCTTCTGCTGTTAACCCTTAAAGAATTAAGAATCACATTTACATTTGTGTGTGTATATTACAGGTGCTTCATAATGGAGGACCGAGGCTACTTAGTAGCACACCCCACTCTCATTGACCCCAAAGGTCATGCCCCTGCAGAGCAACAGCACATCACACACAAGGTAAAGCACCCAGAGACAAATACACAGATGTAACACAACCACACACAGTGTATCAGTCACATCAGATATAAATAAACCATTCAACGTTTCTTTCATTCTAAACATGTCCTTTACCGATGGCCAAACATTAGAAACTGTCGCCTTCTTAATATTTCATTCCTCAATTTGTCCTTCTGTTTTCCTGATGGCAGGAGCCTCTGGTGGCTAACGACATCCTTAACCATCCCAATTTTGTCAAGAAGAACCTGTGCAACAGCTTCAGCGACCGCACCGTGCAGCGCTTCTACAAGTTCAACACCAGCATCGTGGTAAGTCAGAGACGCACAGAGAGACTGGATGTATGGATGGCAACACAGGAGACATAGACACACACAGGCTCCTCACTCCTCAAGGCCTTTGTAAGCAATATGTTAATATTTGATAGTATAACACTGCTTCCTAGTGGTGACCATTGGTGTCGCAACCATGAATTATTCCTACACTATTAAAACTGCAGTGTAGTGTGCAGTGTGTAGTTAAGGAGTCTGAGAGTATGCTGTATATCCCAATTTAAAAGGTGCACCTTTATTGTTTTTCAGCACGTCTTCATTTCCCACTTTTAGGTTAACAGCTTTAGTATAATGTCACAAATTCGAATCTGAGTTTGTCTAAATACCTCATGTTGCTTACTGGTTACTTTACCAATGTCTTGTTCATTTTTATGCTCATAGATTGTTTTGTTCCTAGATAGATCCTTGTCTTTTGAATTTTTGGTGAACTGGATTTTAAATAGGATTATAAAGTACTATAAACTTCCAGTTACCCCGTGGGATGATGTGTTGATCTCTCTCTCTCTCTCTCTCTCTCTCTACTCCAGGGGGACCTCACCAATCTGGTCCATGGCAGCCACTGTTCAAAATACCGTCTGACCAGAATCCCTGGTACCAACGCCTTCGCTGGTATCGTCAACGAGACGTGTGACTCCCTGGCGTTCTGCGCCTGCAGCACCGTGGACCGGCTCTGCCTTAACTGCCACAGGTCTCTGCTTTACCCACCCACCAATGAGGGATTTACTGTTAGATGATGGCACTTGGGAAATATTAAAGAACAAGTCTGATTTCTGCACGTTTGTTAAGTAAAGCTCCAGATATGATAGTATACTGCAGCTGCAGAGTCATCACAGATTGTGTGAATTGTATTTACAGTCACATCATGCAACCAAACAGAAACTCTGCTAATGAAGCGTTACATACAGTATGTGGACAGAGCTCATGGTTTTTTTCTCCTTCAGGATGGAGCAGAATGAGTGTGAGTGTCCATGTGAGTGCCCCCTAGAGGTGAACGAGTGCACAGGCAACCTCACCAACGCTGAAAACAGGTCCGTACTGAACCGCATAGACACTACATTTATATCCGCTAATATTGCTTTGCTCATGAGTTATGCTTAATGATGTAATAGGGAGAAAAAAAAATAAAAGGTAATTTGGAGCAGGCAGCATAGAAAAGTGTTCACCTTTCAGATGATGCCTGTGGACTGTAGCAGTAATGTAGCCCTGAGGTGTAGTCACATCCACATTGTCTCTTAAGTGCTTGAAGTGTGTCTAGCTGACTTCCAAAAAGCAGGGCATATAATAACAGAGGCCAATGGAAACCAACAGTTTTAAATACTAGGATTTACATTCTATTAAAATCTTTGTTATTCGTGTTAATATTACTATTTTGTTTGATTTGTTTGAAACCCCTTCACTGGGGATATTGATTAAGACTACAAAGAGTTAGCATGCTTGGTGTGAATGTTGGAGCATACCAGGTTATGATGAGTTGCAGTTCTCTATTACTTATGTCTTCAATGTAAACAAGCTTTCTATCAGTAATATTCAGCACTAATAACCGGGTTTCAGTGAAAACGTAGTCTGTAGTCTCTGTACCTGACTGTCTTGAAATGCGTCCCTTTCATATTCCTGTCATTATGAATTTAATTGTGGACACTTGCATGCTTCAAACATCTTAGGAGCTCTGTAAATGTTTGTTGGTGTTTCCCTTTCTCTCTCTCTCTCTCTCTTCTCTCTCTCTCTCTCTCTCTCTCTCTCTCGTTTTATCTGTCTGTCTTTTCCTCTACTGTTTTTGCCACTCTGTCTATCATGCTGTTTGCCTCTCACATCTCCCGCTCTCTCTCTCTTGTTTTACCCACCTCCGTTCATCAACCATCAGCAGCCTTTGACAGCTCGTCAATGTTTCAAATGCCAATTCATCTTTTATTTCAGGAAGACGTGCAATTATCGTTTTTCACTGTCTATTTTGTGTCGAGCAGCATTGATGTTTGTCCTTTTTAGAGCTGATTTGCATACATTGACATGCCAAAGATGTTACTTTGCATGTTTATGCTTGGATTTTCTTTTTATGTCAGTTTTACTGTGTTTGCTTTTGTTGAGTGTAATCGTGTTTCATGCTAGGATTTGGAAGGATTTAGTTGGCTGAATGTTTTGACCAAGAACATGTGCTGTACCTCCACCTTTCGGCATTTTCACCTTGTGTGTGTTATGATTGTGTCTTTGTGTTATACAGGAACCCCAGCTGTGAGGTGCATCAGGAGCCAGTCAGTCTGAATGTGATTGATCCCAGTCTGCATGATACCCTGCCCCAGTGCATCAACACGCGCTGTAGCCAGAGATACACCAGCAGGTACACACACACACACACACACACTAAACCACACACATTCACATTATATACCAACACATTCTTACAGAGCCGTATGCCTGCAGACACATACAATGGAGACACATAAATCTACCATTTATATTACTTGTAAAGCATAGTGCCACCCAGTGGCAATAAATGGGAAGTGTAGATTCGCGTTGATGTTGACATTGGATTCCCAGACACTTGACTTTGTCACTCTGCATGATACACACCAGTGTTTTGGGAGCGAGAAAAAGAGAGGCTAAAGCAATTTTAATGAAACTACTAGTAGGTTTTGTGAATATTTATCAGTGATACAGTGCTGACTTCCTGTCTAAGTTTGTCAAAATAAATACATAAAAAATGTAGAGAAAGTATTCCTAAATCTATAGGTCAAGAACCACTTGGCCCATCTTTAAAAAATTTCTTCAAGTGTTAGCTGTTCATGAGTATTATTTTCATGTCTTTTATTCTGCGCCCTGTTTCAGTGACTGTTTCGGCGTGTTGGACTGTGAGTGGTGCATGGTGGACAGCGATGGTAAGACTCATCTGGACAAGCCATACTGTGCCCTGCAGAAGGAGTGTTTCGGAGGCATCGTCGGCGCCAAGAGTCCCTATGCGGACGGTCTGGGGCTCTTAGGTGAGATGCTTACTCCAAAGAAAGATCAGATACATAATTTCCTCTGCAAATATTGTGATTTTTCTTTTGTGTGCAAAGTGGCTGAGCCATTCAGACTCATCAGCATGTCTCAATTCAGGAACTTGTGCTCACGTATAGTGCTTTAGCTTGATTTTCTGAGTAATGAGACATTGTTCCTAGATGTACTGTGGGGCCTTATGTCAGCCAGTAAGGAAATAAACAAGCAACAACAGAAGAAGACAAAATTCTAATTATTTCCTTGGTCCTTGAGGCAGCAGAAATGTGACCTATGTAAGTGTAGACTGAAACTTTTCTGTTGCTTGGTTATTTTTCCTTTAGTTCTGTCATCAGTTTTTTTCAAAAGGGGAACTGGTTGTTTGATTGCTGTTGAATAATTTTTCTGTGGCATTTCTCTCTGATGAGAGAATAGAAAAAAATAATAGAAAATGTGCCAGCATCGCAGCATGAGTTGGGATCTGAGCGCGAGCTGTTTGATACTGGCTTATTGTAATGTCACCTCTCGAGCCATCTGAAATCTTTTGTAACTTCTTTAAACAACCTTCTGCCCGTGCCTCTCTCTTCTCTCTTTCTTCAGCAGATGAGGAGGTGGCGTCTCTGAACATGATCAAGAGTGCCCCTGTGGGTCCAGTTGCTGGGGGCATTATGGGATGTATCATGGTGTTGGTGCTGGCTGTGTATGCTTACAGACACCAGATTCACAGGCGCTCGCACCAGCACATGTCACCACTGGCGGCGCAGGGTACGTATGACTGATAGTTGGATTCTCTCTCACATATACACATATTTTTACAGTTAAAGTCAAACCTTGCAACTTACAGGTCAATGAAATTGAAATTGAAATTGTAGTTTTTTGGCAACTAGGGCAACTATGGAAGTCTATCCGCTTGTTTTAACCTTCACAGTTTCTTCTTCACATGCTGACATTTCTGTAAATATCAAAGAAAGAAAGAAAGTTTTAAAGCAGCATGATTAACAAGCAGTGCAGCGAGTGCTGTTGCCGCTAAACAGCTGACATTAGCATCGCACAGTAGCAGCAGCTGCTGCTGCATGATTTGTGTAATTACTCAGCAATATTGACAAAAACATCAAACAAGATTACAACCTCATTAAGAATCTTCGGTCCAAGTCACTTTAAGTTTGATAGTTTGGTAAACAACTTAGAATCGATGGTGGCTATGTTATCACAAGGCATTCAATTGAGGAATTGGCTCATAAAGTCACAATACTCAGCTTTGTGTTTGTGGGTGGTTGTGTAGGGCATGTTTGCAGCTGCAGGTTGCACCAACAGTACACAACTGCACGATCAAAGGCAAGGTCAAGTGAAATAATACGAATGGCAAAAAAATTGCTTCTATTTGTGGATAGTGGTTTTATTAATTGAGTGGGGAAAGATCTGATGACAGTGAACCAGTTGTTTAATGGAACAACTCTCAAGGCATTACAGGCCCAGTATGGTATTGCATCTAATGAACTGAAACTTACAGATAAGAGACTATTTGGAGACACACAAGGAGCTGCACTAAATTAAAAGTACTTTGAATAGTACTGGTTAGAGACGTTTGAGAAACAAATATCCCAGAGGACAACAATATTGTGTAAGATTTACATGGACTCAACAGACAATACATTAGATGTGAAAAGTAAATAGAGGTCAACAGGAGTGGGAGAGGGCCTCAATGTGGTAGAGTAGCTCAACTTGGAAAGAATTTGGTTGGAAGCTGAGAATGAGATTTTTTGAAACACCACCACTTATAGCCAACTATGACAATAAAAGGAATCCTCTCTGTTTCTGGAATAAATCTCATGTTTTTTGAGAGGAGGTAAATGAAGAGAAATTCTGAACTTACAGTCCATTTGAACCACATCAGTTTATTCTAGGCAATGCATCTCTAAGAGAAAAACAAATTATATTTGCCCTGAGCTCTTGTGTTATTAGCCCATGAAATGATTACTATAAACGGAATAAAGCACCATCTACTTTGGGCCAATGGACCCAAAGACTCAAGGCTATCAACTGTACATAACCGCAAGTTTGCAGGTCTGGGCACTTATTCATAAAGATGGTCTTCTGTTATAGTGTACCAAGCAAAGTGAACATAGTGTAAATTTCTAATGGGATGATTGGGGGGTGAATCTCAAAGTATGTATAACCTGACTTATGTCTTTATATTGCTAGTAATTCTTCCATACTAACATTGTTTCATGAAAAGTTACGTGAGACTAGTTGTCAAGGAACCTGTTCTAATGAATGTTAAAAAAAATGTAATTAATCAAATGTAATTAATTCATTAGATGTAATTCCTCTGCCATTAGTTTGTGGCTTGATACAGAAACCCTGTTCACATATCATTCCTACTTGTCATGCTTGTAATACCTCATTAGTTTAAGAATAGTAGCATCTATCTCATCTGGGCCTTCTGCTTCTTTCCTCCCACTCTGCTCACCTCCATGTTGCTCCAGAAATGTCAGTGAGAATGTCTAACCTGGATAATGAGAGAGATGAGAGAGATGAAGACAGCCACGAAGACCGAGGAATCAGTAAGTTCTGTTTGACATGTGATGGAGAAACATTTAAATATAATGGCTTGAACGCTACAGTACTGTAATCACGTCTCGCTATTTCACACTAGACATATTTGAGTACCACTTAACTGTGCTTTTGTATTGACCTGTGTGCTCTCTTCACTTTCAGTCAGTAACACTAGATTTATAGCTGCGGTGATTGAGAGACACACACACACTCCTGAACGGAGACGGCGGTACTGGGGTCGATCCGGGACAGAGAGCGACCATGGTAAGACATTTTGTTTCTCTGCCCTATACATAGATTAACATGAAGGTGGGGAGGTTTACAAAAAAAACACAAACGTGTCGACACTCAAAACTACTAATTGTGCTCTCTGCGTACTGTCCTTCATTATGTCAGCATTAGGTAATAGAAAGAGGAATTGAGTAGTTTCTGTATGAAATGCCAGTAATGATGTGTCAAACCAAAAATTACTACTTATAAAATTCCCCTTACTTACTAATAGTTACATGGATTTTATGTGGGTTGTCAATGACGGAAATCCTTTCAAACTGGACTAAAAATACCACAATGGATGGTGGTCAAGCTGAAGTCATCATGGTTGTTTAGGAAGTTGATATTCAGTGACATCTGAGTTTTGAGTCACAACAAGCATTGGGTATTGTTTGGTAAAAAAAAAAAATTACATTATGCGGGCTTAGTTTTACTTCATTTTCACTCTCTGGAGATGAAACATAATCATGATAAGTTTACCATGGAAGTGATTCTAGCAATATTTCCTCCACGTGACGTTCATGTTCTGTCATGGTGTTATACAATAGACAGTTAAATCTAAAATAACCTGCTCTGTGGAAAATGAGTCAGTCATCCACTGGTTACGAAACAGGCCCAATCCTGTACAAAATAAGTGTTAGCCACTTGAGTTGTTCTAAAATTTTGTTTATCACAACCACAACCACGTAGGCTCAAGAACACGGCTACAGACAGCAACAGGTGCTGTACCAAACTCCTGGATCAGGAGGTGGACTCTCCTGAGTTGCCTAGGGAGAGAAGTGCAGGTTTTCTGGGCTCGTTGTTGGGGACACGGTGAGGAGTTCAGATATACAGGGGGAGCTTGGAATAGAGCCGCTATTCCCTAGTGTGGAAAGAAGCCAGTTAAGGTTTCGGAAGGATAGACTCAGAATATGCTGAAGGGATACATACCCTCGTCCGGTCTGGGAAAGCCTCTGGATCCCTAAGAAAGAGCTGGAAGACACAAGATAAAGAATGTCTGGATTACCTTGATTAACCGTCTCCCACAGTGACTCAGGCCCAGAGAAGTGACAGAACATTGAATACTTTTTCCACGTTAAATACTTCTTCCTCTAAAACGGGGATCTTTTAATAACATGCAGAGTTTTCACATGCGCACTAGTATCCTGGTTATGATCAGATTTATCTTGGTGTCAGAAACCTGGATATGGTCTTAACCAGGTTTTGAGAGACCTGGAAATGCCACACAGAGAAATTGGGAGGGATACTGTGACATGATAACACCTTATCCAGGTTTCTGAAGATTCTTTGTTGGTACAGAGCGTAGTGGCTGAGATGGTCAGTAATGAAGACACAAATGTAAACAGATGATCATAAACCTGGAGTCTATTATGATCATGTAAACAGGCATCAAAACCAGGATAAGAGTCAAACCCGAGGTAATAATGTGCATGTGAGCATACTCATAATAGAGCGTAAAACCTTAACAAGATAGATTTAAGCTACACTGTCAAAAATCAGATTTGGGGCTTAGGTTTTTTAAATGAAAATTATTCCTTTTTGAATGTTACAGTCTCAAATCCACAGTTAGCTCTCAATTCACTGGCTGCGGTTCAGCTCCTGGCTTGTTCTTTTCATTATATCACAGCTCAGAACCTTGTTTTCTCTCGTCTCTAGCTTTGGGAGAGTTGCTCGTGTTCACTGTAACCATTTGTGGAGCTTGTAAGTCTGACACTCGATGAGCGTGGATGGATAGTTTCACCCACATGGGCTCTTACCACCTACATGTGGCATCACTCCACTTCCTGGCGATGAGTGTCTCTGTTACTTGTTGCATAACTGATGATGACAGAGAGGATGAGCATGAAGGGAGGAGAGTGGGCTAAAGTGAAACAAAGACGAGTCGGCTTAAACTAGGGAGGATAAAGACATGTGGGATAGAGCTGTAGGGGAATGGAGAAAATTAATTTATTAGTAAGATGAGCTCATCTGTAGTGACTGAAGTGTTATTTTCTCTGTAGTTCATTAAAGATTATAATCAATTCTCCTGCATAGCACATTTTTACAGTGAATGCTAACTTTAGATAATCCTAAATATCAGTGTTTTTTTACATAGCTACATATTTTTGAAGGAATGTTTTGAGGAAGAAATATTGAATAAATTTAAGTTTGTAATCTGGAATATGATTTATGAACGACACCTGAATTGTTTCTCTCGTATTATAAAATAACTAAAGAGAGAGCATAACTCAGTGATTAAAAAGGCCTAATAAAAAGGGCGATGATGAGAAATGGACGGGAAAGACTATCTCATGTTGTGTAACTGGGGATGGGAAAGAAAAAGCTGAAAATTAAGGACAAGTGCAGAGATGCAAACATGCAAAAATGATGAAAGAGGGGAAATTAGAGTGAAATGGAAGGGCAAGAGGACAGGGACAGAGAGGCAGATGAGTTTGAAATAATGGAGAGAGGGGGTGTAAGTCCGTCAGGGAGTAAAACAAACTCATAAGTTGACGCAACAAAGTTGCTGCTCTTCTCTGCTCGGTCAAAGGTGCCCTCCCACCACAGTCCACACACTCATACTGCATAAGGGTGTGACACACAGACACAAACCATCGCCGAAGGATCAGAGCATTAAATCTGTTAAGTGAGTGACGCACACATACATAGTTTGACCATGGTGGTTTTCAGCTGCAGTTTTAGCTTCCAGGAGATGGTTAGAACTACCCAGTGCAAAATGAGCACTGTGCATAAATGCATACGTATATATAATCTCCAACTTTAATCGACACACCCTAACATAATAATAACAATAATGTTTATACTTTCAATGGCAATGTGCAATATCAGTCATATGTAGAGAGAAGAGGAGGCACATATCGTTACATTTGTATGGTGTTTTGTGCATCTTCAAAATAACAAAGAAATTCACTTTTACAAGTCACATACTTCCAGACCTGTTAGCATAGTTAATCTGGACAAAGAATTATGCAAAAAAAAAAAGAGGATGAGAGGAGGAGGAGAATGATTTGTGTGCCATTTCTATATTTCGGCATTGGATTAGAAATCCTAAAGCCACAACGTACATTATGCAAGTTACAGGAATAGTTTGACAGTTTTGCATTTTGGGTCGTATATACAGTAAAGCTTAGCCAGTTACTGGTCTCAGCTAAGAACACATAATCCTGTAAAACCACACATTGTCACTTTTCGAGTTTGTTTTTTATACAGAATAAACAGACAGAATGTAGCATGTTAATTGAGTTGGTAGGTAGATTTTTTTTAACCTTTTGGAGTTTGGTGTTTATTCTAAGCAAAGATAACCGGCTGCTGGTGGTAGTGCACTCAATGCACAGACATCTAATCTAACTCTCCGTAAGAAGGCGAATAAGAGTATTCCCCAGAGATAACAAACTATTTCATAAATCAACATCTCATTCAGTTTGTCACACACCTAATAACACTGTCTTTCACTTGTCATTAAACTGTCTCTAGTACTTGTTTCCAGCTGTTAAAAGAAAGATCTCCAAGTTTGCAGAAATCTCAAAGGTGCAATACTTTTTACTGTTTCTCCACATCTCTTGGCTTTAAGAGGGATTTGATTTCCTTTCCTGGTTCAGCTGAGAATTGTCAACTGGACATGGTTAGCTGTAGACCTGCCTAAAACTCTGGCTCTTGCTTTGGGGAAAAGAGGGATAAACTGTGCTGAAGTTGGCATCTTCCAAGTCTGGAACTTCTTTGAAGTCTCCATCCCTCCCTTTCCTTTAATCCCCCCTTTCCTCTATCCCTACCTTAGCCCCCCTCCTCTCTTTTTCTCTCCTTGTCTCTCCCTCCGCTCATTTTTCTGTCTCTCCATGTCTTTGTCTGCTTTATTTCTTTTGGTATCAAAGCCAGGCTAATCTTTTGAGAATCAGGGAGGGAAACTTGTGAGAAAGCTTCTCAGTTTGACTGTAGTACAGGATTTTAGAACACCATGAAGGACATTTCCTTATTTTACATGATGCCACCGAGTGGGGCATACATTACCTTCTGTTGTATCACATTATATCACAGGATATACAGCACTAAAAATGACAGGAAGATACAGATGCCAGTGTTGGTTGGTTGGTCTGTGACTGAAATATCTCAATAAATTAATGAAATTTGGGGGCGTCAAGTAGCTCAGTTGGATGAGCATCCGCCCCATGTGTAGAGGCTACAGTCCACGCTGCAGTTGGCCCCGGTTTGAGTCCCGCATCGGACAGCCCTTAGCTGCATGTCATTCCCCCTCTCTCTGCCTCCCCATTTCCTGTCTCTCTCTACTGCACTATCAATAAAGGCACAAAAAGCCCGAAAAAATAAATAAATAAATAAATAAATAAAAATGAATGAAATTTGGTCCACATTCGTATTCCATGTACTTTTCATCTAGCTCCATCATAAGTTTAATGAAAATTAAATTGTCCAATACTTTGTTTATGGCTACTATACTTTAAGTTTATGGCAGAATACTTTGAAAACTAACTCAATTACACTTCGGTTTTATGCTAATTAGCAAATGTTATCATGAAAACATGCTAAACTAAGATGGTGAATATGCTAAACAAAACCTATACAATACATTTAAGAATCAGCTTGTAAGCCTTGTCATTGTGAGTGTGCTAGCATACTGACATTAGCATTTATCCCAAAGCACCACTAATTACAGACTCATGGAGCTGCTAGCATGGCTGGGAACTCTTAGGTTTGTTTATAGTTTGACTTGGTTCTGGACTTACTAAGCATTTGCCTGGGGATGTAGCCAATACAACACAAGGTTTCTGCTACATAATGTGAGCCCACAAAACCCTGACAAGAATCTTGAGGGATCAGATATGTGTATGTGATGTTTAGACTGTATAGGATAGAAAAAGGTTGTTGGGAGATCAATTTGACACAAGGCCACACAAATGCATATACATCTGGCTACCGCCTTCAGCCTGCATGACACACACACACCGTCACGCACACATACACAGACACATCCTCACAAATCACTTGGTTCAGTATCTGTGGAGGTTTAATGTTTCATCATCCAAAATGGCAACGATTCTTCTATAAATATAATCGTTGAGGCACTCAGGCTTACAGGGTTATTTGCTCGAATAGTAATAGCAGATGTTCCCATCGTGCTGAATGTTGCTGGTGTCATTTCAGAAGCTAAAAAAACACGGTGCTAAAGGAATTAAGGAAAATGGGTTTATTTCCAGATCAACTACCAAATATTTTTTTATAGTCACACTATGTGTTTCAGATGAATTTCATGGCTCTGATGGTGACGAAGCCCACTTAGTAGATGAAGGGTTGTGTCGAATTTGAGTTCAAATGAAAAATGTAAGCAATTAAGCAAACTGAATAAACACAGAACTACAAGGCTTTCATGAAATTTTGCTTGTGGGAGCTTTGAACAGTCAGAGTAGACGATTTGTTATCTCAATCGTCAGAAACTTACAGTTAGGTTTGGCCTTGCATAAATGTTAAAATTGTCACTCATCAGAATTTAGTATCATAAAATATTAGTCTCCTTATGTTCAATCTGTTATTTACTTGGTCTTTGACCCAGTAATCCCTTTTCACTGTGACAGCAGTACTGTCCCCCCCCCACTGCTCCAGTTACCCATGTATCCGAACTGCCATGTTGGCTTTGGATGCCGTCTCCTCAGGCTAAACGTATGTGCAAAATATGTAGGAAAGTGGTCATAAATATGTATGCTCCTTTTGTGTTCAAGTTGTAGTGAGAAAGCTGAATACATATGGAGAAGAAAATGCCCAACAGGGATATTTAGTTGTCAGTGCACCATAAATGTAAGGCTTCAGAAACATTGTGTGTTAGCCTGTATCCACAAGCATGTTTCTGTGTTGAATGTCTATGACTGGAGGGCGTCATTTGTTGAGTAGTTTCTTTCATGCCGTCTTCCATTTCTTTGTACACAAACCTATGCCAAAATCCTTTCCCTTTCTACCCAGTGCTTGAATGAGGCTTATATATAATACTTAATGTGGTTGGTTTGTGCTGGATTCTCTACAAACCAAGGAGGTTTTGTGTTTTTTGTGAATTTAAGTTGTAGAGTAAACGTGAAACGTGAAGATAAAAGGATTTACTAGTAGGGGTTAACATTGGATTTCTCAAAAATGTATTACTCATGACCCAACTTTCAGGCTTTAAAATGATCACGAGCCAAGTTGTACTAAAATGATAAGTCAGTTAAACTGATTATCTGGGTTTTTGGGGGTAGTTGGACAATACAATACATTTTAAATATTACTACACTTTGGCAAATTACTTTTTTTTCTGACATTTTATTGACTAAATGATCAATTACCAAATAATAAACATATTAATTTGGTAATAATGGCATTAGTTTGAACCTTGATTGGCAGTAGGGGACAGACTTAAAAATGAATTAGTGTGTTACACGTAACAAGTAGGGGCAAGGTTGCTCAACAATTTCAGGCTCATGATCCAACCTTTAGGCTTTTTAAGTCTTAAGTCATAAGAATGAGTGTGGCATACCTCTGTAGTCTGTTTTCATGAGTGTGCATGCAGCTCCAAATCGATTACATGGAAAACGTGATACAAGCCCATTAAATCAAATCTGTCAGTGATACCGGACAATCTAATTTTTCGCAAATTTCGCACAGCCCCATCTGCACATTCAGTGAGCCCATGTGAAGTCATGACCCTGAGATTGAGCAACTGGTTCACGAGGGCTGTGCATACTGAAAAGATTGAGGCTATGGAATAACTTAGAGGTTTTTTTTAGGGGAAAGAGTTGTAAGATAACAAGTCCAGTAATGCCAAACTCTGCATATTTTTTGTTTCCAGGTTACAGCACCATGAGTCCGCAGGAGGACAGCGAGAATCCACCCGGAAACAACGATCCGCTCTCAGCAGGCGTCGACGTTGGTAACCACGATGACGACCTCGACCTGGATACACCTCCCCAAACGGCTGCGTTGCTCAGCCACAAGTTTCATCCCTACCGGCACACGCATACACACCACCACCCGCTGCACACGCACCACCTGCAAGCTGCAGTCACCGTGCACAGTGTGGACGCTGAGTGCTGATCCTCAGCATGGCATTGCACCTCCTGCCAAGGATGGAACTTTTTTTTTATTAAAGACTATTTTTTAAAAAAAACAACATTTGTGCTTGATTACACAGTGGGTACTGTCAGGATGGACGGAGGGAGTGAGACGCCACATCTGGACTCAAACCCCATGGTGCCACTGCGCTGCTGGGACCCCCGCCCCGAGTGGATCTTATCTTAATATGGGCCTCATGGTCTCATTGTGCCAACATCTCCATCTCAGTTCTTTCTTCACTGATCCCAATCTAAAACCTCTGAAGTGTACACAGTTTTTACAAACACCGAAAATGAGGAGACCTGGGCCAGTGGAAATAACCAAATGGGAAATTTTGTTTGTTTTCTGAAGACATTTGGCATTCAGGACGCTGTATGTGCATACAACATTTTTTGGGAGCAAACACAGCACTGTTTGAGCTCATTCACTGGCCTTCAGTGAGGAGAGGACACAACTGGAACCTAAAAGCCTAGAGGGAGGACAAACTTGTTCACTTTCACATGGAAGGCCAGTGCAAACACTGTGTTGGATCAGTGGATAATCTGATTAAATCTAGAGCTTGATGTGGACCCTTGTTGCCTCAGGGCTTCATCCCAGTCCCCATACAGGTTGTCCTCTAAGCCCACTTGTGATGAGGGGAACAGAGCACTCCTTTCATTTGTGAAAACTGCTGGATGTCTCTGAAGAGAAAAAGATATCAACTTTCCAACACTTACGTGGATCTAATATGGGATTATACTATGAACTCTATTACAGCTTTACTCTCCTTGGTTCTGCAGATGGACACTCCCAACTTTTTGCCTTTATCCAAAGGAGTAAGCTGCTGGTCTCACAAAATGGCTTGGGAAGATATTTGGACATTTCCATGAATATCTGTGAACTTCAAAGTAGAAAATTCTTCAGTGAATCACATAAAAACAGGAAGAAACACTTAAAAAGAGGAAAATATTATTTTTCTACTATTTATTAAAGAGGTAGATTTTCAGGACAGATGAGCAAACAGCTGTCGCCAACACAAACAAGACAGCCGTCAGGATAAGTAACACGTACCAACCCCCTTCCCATAACCAGCGCATCATATTTAGGGCTCATTATTTTCAGTTTTTAATTCCCTAAAAAAACAGTGAATGGTTGTTTATTTCGATTTTTTTTTTTTATATCGGTAAAACAACAGACCATGTGAACACTTTTTTTTTTTTTTTTAATATTTTTTAATATTTTTCTCAATGTTGTGTCAATTTGGTGCAGAATCAGCAGCTCATCTGTGTTTTTTTTCCATTTGTCTGTCCAAATATTACCAGAAGCATCCTCTCTCCACTAGAGGATCCTGTTTACCATATAGTGTAGTGACAAGTGTCCCCTTAAAGTAAGAAACATTTTGTAGATGAGCATGGACCTAAAATCCGAGTCAAAATCAGTTCTGCTCCTTTCAAAAAAAAAAAATCCAGCTATATTTCATATATTGATATTGATTTTTTAAAAAAAATGAAAACAATGAGCCTTAACCGCATCCTGTGTCAGAGCATTTAGGAGGAAGTGGTGTTTGAGATGTAGCACATTTTACTGTGTGTTTTCACAGTTTTGAATCACAGAGGTGCTTTTGTCTTCTTGTGAGGTAAGATGTGCTGTGCCGAACAAGTTGCAAACGTCCTCATTCTGGACATGTCCTCTGTATCAGGAGGCAGAACTTGTATGCTTGCTGGCCTTTTAAAGCCTCCTGAGGATGGAGGAGGGAAGAGCGACACTAACACCGGCAAAACATTCCTGGCTTTAGTCACTGCTGGGGATTTGGTGTGTGAGGATAATTGGGGACCATCACAGAGGTCCTACGAGATTTTCAGAGATTGAGTGCTGTCCTCTCTAACTGCCCCAGTAGAAAAACCAGAACAGAACAGAATGTTGTTGTTTTTTTGACCTTATTTTACCACAAATTTTTGCCTCTGAGTCCAAGCTGATATTATACGTGTGTTGAGGTTGTGTACTGGATTTTGTGCAAATCAATTTAAATTTCCATTCATGCCCGAGATGGAATCTCCTTCTTGTCAAAGAGAGTGAAAGAGGGAGAGATGCTGCTGTTGATGTACAGAGGTTACACCCATCTGTCAGCTCCTCTGTGGTTAACCACTCAAAATGTCTTTTCTACACATCTCTAGTTTAACTTTTGTTTTTTTGTGTACAAGTGTATGTGTGTGTGTGTGTGTGTGTGTGTCTGTCTGTGTGAGTGAGAGAGAGAGAGAGAGAGAGAGGGAGGAAGGAAAGAATGAGTATCCGCCTGGAATATTTTTATGCATTATTGTATTTTTTTCAAGATAGTATTAGAGAATTATAGGTGAAATTATTATGATTGAGAAATCCACTTATTTTTATTCTGATGAAGAGTCACTTGACCCGATCTGTGCTTCATGGGTTTGGTTGTTCAACAGCTCAAATCACGTCGGTGTGGCATCCGTTCATTTCTGGGTGCCAAAATGTCTATTGTTCTTCAGAGATTCAATATGAAGTGTAAATACAGAAATCACAAATAGCTATTAATGTCCTGTACACTCCATTTTTTATGTTGGTAAGATAACGTATGCTTCAAATGATGCTCAGATATTTGGGTTGATATTTTGAATTGTCTGTTCATGGTGTCTCACTATATTTTTGATGCCTTGGATGTTTTTTTTTTTTTTTTAGATTTATTTCTCTTTAGGTCCATATTGGATGGAAGTCAGTACTTGGAAAAATTAATACACACTTTTATGTTTGAGAGACTTCTAGTTTTTAAAGTTTTATTGTGTGTCTTCAAAATGTTAAAGAAAACCTTATCTCTCCATGAACTGATTTAGAATTGCAAAATAACGGTACAACATCTTTTCACTGAGGTAATGGCCAAAACAAGAACCTAGTAGTGGATTCAGGGCTTACAGGAGACTGCTGTAAGCCGTGCGATGGCTCTGTTGCTACTAAAGACTGTCAGCCATTTTCATTTACAATCATTTTAGTGTGCTTAACACTTCAGTAGAATATTTACATTTGCACACTCAATGTGAGCTCATTAAACTTCCACCTGAAAATTGCTAAATAATTTAAAACAGAGTAGTCTTATTTGTAGTGGATTCATTATTTAATTTGAATTACAGAAAGGTTCATCACCAAAGTTGAAATTGATAATTTTCCTGTTTTCACCACTTTATATGGTACATATTTTCGGTTCAGTTGACGCAGTCTTGTAGCATTTCCCAGCTATCTGTAGATCAAATGCAGTCTTGCGTGTATCATCCCATATGTGTGTATGTTGGGCAAATTGTTTTCTCCAAAGTGGTTTGATGTTAAAAGCATATTTTCTGGAGAGCTTTTAAACAGTATTTACCAGCCGTTGTAAACAAGTATATGTGTGTGTCTATACAGAACACTCTGAATTTCATTAATTAATGTACTGAAGGAACATGTGTACATCACCCCCCCCTCATGTATCATATAAAGTTATCAAATTGAGATTTATTGCAATGTGAATGTGATAAAGTCCATTTTACACTTAAATTATCTGTCTTTTGTTATTCCTGTTTAATTTTTTAACCACTATTGTGTATTTTTTAAAGGGCAAATCTACATTGAAGTATATAGCTTAGCAGATGTAAATTGATGTAGAAGATATATTTTTGATTCCATTCTTTCTTTTTTCTTTGTCAAAATCTGGTGCCTACGCTACCCAGAATGCAACTTGACCACTGACAATTCGGTCGGTGATTTGAACCCTAATTATCGACAGCTGCAAATAGACTGCAAATACACCACCACTGGCAGGTTCATCAAATTAAATCCAATATTAACATTAATACAATGGATTTAGATAATTTTATAGGAGCTATACATGGTTTATTTGTATGAGTTCTAAGTTGGCTCCATGAACTGCTACAGATACATAACACAACAAAGCTAGTTTAGGCTGTTTATCAGGTGTGACTACAAGGTCAGCACTAGGGTTAACCACTTTCTGTGATCTGTCAACATCCCCTAGTCAGAAAAACAGCCCCAACTAGTGTTGCCTCAAGTGACATCATATTAGGCAGTTTATTACAATTAATGCAGCTCCCTCTGGAGCCACAAAAACCTTCATCTATGCAACTTTCCCCCACATATTCAGTAGTACTTCCCAAGACCAGTTAAGAGACTTAAATGTATAAAATCGGTGTAATTACCCTTTAAAAGTATGCTGCAGTTCAAGCCACGCCCCAATCAGTGATGTCACAAGAAGCGTTCTCCATAGTTAATAAAATCTTAACACCTGTTGCAACGCCATTGATTGGGATGTAGCAAGAAGCTTGAAAGGTTTTAATCTTGGAAACCATCTACCTAGTTTTGATTAAACCTGACAACTGCCATTTATTTATATTTAGTTGCTTTTTAAGAACACGAAGAACGCCGCGACCGCCAGAGAAACACTAACTTAACACATTATCCTTTAAGAAGTTGTTATAGTTAACATGTTAGCAAACATAGGACCTCACCTTTTAGCACCCCCAGGAGACAGGAGCAAGATTATACCATTGGAGTCGTGTTTCTGGGCACCTGATGAATGTAAGTCAAAGATTCGCTGTTTTATTCATTTATATCAACTCGTGAGAAAAACATGCATCCTTAAACTCTCCCTCGCGTCCAAGTTAGGTGTTCGGTTTTTTTGTCCAGCTAGCTAACGTTAAACTTTCGCTGTGCTAATATTAAAGTTTAGCTACGCTAAATCAACTCGTTCTGTCATATGTTTGGTGCTGGGCTGTTTCATGTAGTGTGTGTATCATAGCATATACGATGTAAGAAGCTACCCGCTGTTGGTGAAAATGGATTTGGTTGTTGGCTGTTTGATGTTTATTTAGAAATTTGAACGGTGACTTGTTCTGCCGGGCTTTTTTAAGCCTCAATAGATCTTAGCTGGGTTCAAAATGAAGTCATAATGTAGCTAATGTCAGGTTATTTTAACAAACAGTGCTATTGATCTCAGAGCTGCAAAGA